ACAAGACATTGTGTAGTTCAAAGAGGGACATTCCTGATTTCCACAGGCCTTAAGATAGGAAATCAGATTTAGAATGTGTCAAAGGGAAGAATAACTATGCCTTAATAATCCTGATATGTTATCTTACTGAACTCTACACACACCTAGGATGTGGATGTTGTCATCACCTTTATGGATAGGCAAGGGAGCTCAGGTAGGTCCTGTGGCCTTAGGATCCTAAGGGAAAGTCCCTTTCTTTCTCTGTGGTTTGATATTTGAGTCAATGAGCTAAACTGGCTACTACTCATATTCATTTGCTGTGAGCAAGAGCACATGAGCCAAGCAAAATCTGAGACTCAAAACAAAGCCCAGCAGACTGCAGGTCTTCTGTGCAGAGAAGAGTAGGGCTGTGAGAGGGTGGAGGCCTGTGAAAGGGGCAAAGGTTCTTAGCATGTAGTTTCTCAGAGGAGAGCCCTCAGAGCAACAGGTGACAAGACACTCCATGGTCATCTTAGGGAAGGGGGTCCTCGACCAGAAAAAGCAAGAGGAGGGGGCCTTGAAGGAAGCCCGTCTGCAGGACTCACTTCACCAGTATGAGTTAAGACAGGGACAGGCTCGCTCCTGTGCCTGAAGTCACTTGGAAGAGCCATCTCAAAAAGATGCTGAGGAGGAAGAGGTACATTTTGGAGCAGCTTATTCTAATTCTCACACCAATAACCCTATGTTAATTGCTTAAAAGAATTACCCCCAGACTATGTTCGTTAACAGGCCTTTGGGAAGTAGTTTATCTTGGAGTTTCACACATTCTCCAGAATTAGATTCTCAGTTCCATGTTTAGGAACCTCCTTGCTGTTCCTTGACCTCCTGGCAGCAGGAGGCCAATTCCATCCATCATCCATGTTAGCAAAGTTCAAGTGAATTCTGTTACATGTACAGAGTCTAGTGGGCTGCCTGCTGTGCACACTCGGTTTGTCTACGCATAGACAATCCTGAAGGGCCAGGGCCACTCTCCTGCCTGCCCACGGTTTGTGAACTGATAGAGGCTGGTCATTAACTAGTAGGGAAGGTTTGAGTCTCTGGAGGTGTCTCTTTTCACAGTGCCCTGGAAGCTTGGCCAGGAAGTAGATCTTGGGTGAGTGAAGCCTGCAGAGGTGGGGGCAGGATCCGGGGCAAGGGTGGATGACATGAAATGATGGACTCAGCAGGAACAGCCCTGTTCAGCAAGGCACTCTGGAAGGTAAAGGAAGGCAAAAGGGGTTTGCTGGGACAGCAAGGGGTTGAGAAGCTGAAAGGCCCCAAAGAGGTTGATGACTTCAAACACTTAAATCAACACAGACTCTACAGGGAGTCCACAAATCCCTACCCTTAACCTTAAGCCATTGTCCTACATCATTAAAGAGAAAAGCAATAAACAAAATCCTTAAAGTGTGCTGTGTGATTGGCCACACCAGTCGACCCTGGGGGTAAGGGAGGGGTAGGGTGGGCCTCTTACTAGCTGCTTCTGGGCAGCTAATTCTGCACAGTAGTTCCAGGCCTGGGACTCTTAAGGTCACTTCCCACTACATCACCAGGAAAAAAAGAGGCCATCGGGTCATTTTCCTCCTCCTGCATTGACTCCACCAGCCCTGCGTGACAATGGTCTGCAGGTCTCCTCCAGCTCTCAGTGCTCTTCCAGCACTCTTCCAGTGACTGCCTTGTTACCAGTGACCTCACAGAACCATCCCTTACCACCACTGTCCACGGTGCTGCTATTTCATTCTTGAACTATTTATTATGTATTTATTTTGTCTTCAGGGAACAGTCTCTTGCCCTTCAGTGTCTGAATTCTTATTTTCAGTCTTCTTTGAAGACCCTGATTTCTGGACATTTCCTTCCAGTAGGAATGCCTCGTGTGTGTGTGTGTGTGTGTGTGTGTGTGTGTGTGTGTGTGTGTGTGTGCGCGCGCGCGTGGGGGGGCTGGCAGTGGTGGTTTTGTTGCAGGAGACCAAAGCATCCCACTTTGAGAAACAGCCCTAATGGATGCCACACTGCCACAAACTCAGCATGCAGAGGAACCCATTTCTTACAAAGCTGTGAGGCCTCATGCCTCTCCACCCCAGGGCTGGACTCAGCCTGTCCTTGGGCCTGGATCTGGTCCTGTCCTTCCAGTTTCTCATCTTCCCCACCCAACACTTCCCAGGGCATCTTGAAACCCAACGTTGATTAGTCCACTCTCGGCCATCTCCTGAAAGTCTCCACTCAGGAAACCTCCCTTCTTCCTTCCCAGTCCAATTAAAATGTGGCCTTTATGAACCTTTCCCAATTCCGTGCTCATTCTCCAGTCCTGGAGAACCTGGGCCGTTTACTCTAGTGCTGATGTGCCCACCCCTGGACAGAGGCTCCCTGACAGCATCTGCTTAGAGATGGAACATGTACAAGTACCATTAAGAACGGGCACGGATGTCTGCTCCACACCACCAGGCTTTAAAGGAAACAGAAAACACATTTTTATTTTACAAAAGCAAGTAAAGTGTACGTGCAGCTCAGCAAGCTTTCCTTGTAAGGAAACAGGCAATACCTGCTTCCGCTTTAAGGGCCATGGGTGCTTGTGACAATGACTCGGTCACAGTTACAGGTGGCAAACAGGCGTCTGCTCTAACACACTTTACCACGGACACTGAAACACTAAGTATCTGTTTTTAGACAGGGTCTCACTATGCAGCTCAGTCTGGTCTTAAACTCAATCCACCTGCATCAGTATTTCTTTTTCAATTATTTAGAGGTTAAACCATCTTAGCTTGCAGAATCATGGCTTTCTGACTTTGGCAATTTATTGTCAATCTTCAAATCACAGGTAATTTCACACCAATCAGCACAAGCCTCGCGTTGCCAGTACTTGGCTCTTCTCCCAAATGAAAACTATACTTCTGAGAAAAGCCTAGAGACTGTGACAGAGGAACCTGTCTATGCGGTCTGCAGTCTGTCCTGCCATCTACTGGCGGTCCTTCCTAATGCCAGTCTTTCCTCAGTTCTTGCCTTTTCAAAGCTCCCTCTCAGTGCCTGTCCACTCTCTCAGCCGTGTGTATCACTCCAAAGGAGTGCAAAATCATTGAACCAAACACAAACCCAGGGATACAAATGACAACCTCAGCAAATCACTGGAAGGGGCAGTCAAGCTTGAAGCCACACAGCCCTGAGCTGAAGGAGACTCCTGAGATGGTACCGCTCAGTTCCCTCCACCCTTCCTGATCATCTGCACAGCACTCGGTGAGTGCTGGCTTAGCGTGCAGGAGGGCCTGGGTTCCATCACTGGCATTGGAAGGAGGAGGGAGGAGTGTAGGCATGGTGGTGCTTGTGAGTTTGAGGCCTGAGACCCTGTCTAATAAAACAAAAGGCCCAGGAAGAACTAGTGCTTAAGATGGCCTGCCCAAAACATCCCATTGGCCTGATCCCACAGCAGGCTTGTCTACGTCTCAGTGACTTATCTCTAACATGGACACAGATGAGTGGGACAGCACCCCTGACACCTCACTGCCTGGACTGTCCCTTCACTGCTCTGTGTTTGGGGATCCTTACCCTTAGTGAGTCCTGTTGCTTGAGTTTTCCTGCCTGGCCCATAGTCAGGACAAATCTCTCTCACCTGCCAGTCCCACAGCCGCTCAAACCCGACCAAGTAAACACAGAGACTTATATTGGTTACAAACTGTATGGCCATGGCAGGCTTCTTGCTAACTGTTCTTACAGCTTAAATTAATCCATTTCTATAAGTCTGTACCTTGCCACATGGCTTGTGGCTTACCGGCATCTTCACATGCTGTTTGTCATCGTGGCGGCTGGCAGTGTCTCTCTGACTCAGCCTTCCACTTCCCAGCTTTATTCTCCTCCTTGCCCCGCCTACACTTCCTGCCTAGCCAACGGCCAATCAGTGTTTTATTTATTGACTAATTAGCAACACATTTGCCATACAGAACATCCCACAGCAGAGTCCATGTCCATAAAACGGAAGCACAGTTCCTACCTGGAAGTGTTGCTGTGAGACTGACATCCGACCTATACTGAGCATCCAGGTATTGTGAGTTCAGACTAGGAGTCTACAATGTGTCAGAAATTGAGTGCTTGAGTGAGTGCCGCCACTCCCATTTGTCATTCTGTCAATCAGCCTGACAGGGTCAAATGTGGCATGGGTGGGCACTCAGAACAAAGCCAGGACTGGCACCGCCTCTGGCACAGCTGATTTTGTGTCTGTATTTAGGGCACAGTTAAGTTCCATAGCTCCAGGATGCCAGCAAGAATGAGTATTGGGTAACTGTAGTTACAGCAGTAGGTCACCTGGTGGCACTCTTGCCATTTGGCAGGCCTTTGGGGGTGGGGTGGAGTGATTGCCATCACCATTCCTGGGGCTTCAGATGGCTTGGGAGACCATCTATAGGTACCTGGTGACATGACGGCCACTTGCTCTTCCTGCTTGTACCACTACTTCACTTTTAAACGTTTGGCTTCTTCGAAATGGTCTTGCTATGTAGCTCTGGCTGGCTTGGGACCATTATGTAAACCAGGCTGGTCTTGAACCAGATCCTGTCCCCGCTTCCTCGAGTGCTGGGATTGCAAGGGTGTCGTTATAGCTGACCTCACGTTTACAATTCTTAACGGAATAGTCACTTAATGCTCAAGATGCACAGGTATTGTTTGCAGCTTAGTGGCTACACCTGCATCCACTGATGTTTTAACTACTGTCTGCAGCCCCGTCTTGCTGGTGCCAGCCCTGTCATGGCCACCAAATGCAGTTTTAACTAAGTCTCTACGGTTCTATCTACCAATAAAGACTCAGAATTCAGATGCTGGAAAGAAAACCTGTTAGATCAGAGAAGCTGAGAAACAGCCAGCTGACTTTCCTTTTCAGCCGGAGGCCCAGCAAGAGAACATCTCTGTCCTCCCAAATCCTCGAATCTCCAAGTCCCTCTCTACTCCTTCCTGTGTGTCTTCTCTATCTACACTCCTGGCTTCTCTATGGCTAGTTCTTTGTCAAGTAGTCACTGGCTCCATCCCGATCCAAGGTTCATTTATTAAGTCTCAGAGAGTTTCACAGTGCGATCAAGTATCCCACAACACACAGGACAATCGAAACCTTTGTAAAGTTAAGCAGTCCTCTGCTAGTGGAGCTCCGTGGACATTTAAAACCTTCACTTATGGGTAAGGCTTGCCGTTGCAGCAACTTAATACAAATACAAATGCTTAAAGCCTGGTTGTCAAGATTCTAAGGCTCCTATTTGTGGACATGTTTCCCCATCCCATGTCCTCCAACCCTTCAGCACAAGAGAACAGACCCGGCTTGACTGGGACATGGCCTGTGTGGCATGCCTACCACCAGGCCCGGGCCTCTTACAGGAAGCACCCTACAGATACATACCATTTTGTTTCAGTTCAGTGTTGCAGTGGGGGTGGGCGATGGTGCAGGGGTGAACACTGAAGTAGAGGCCCGGCCTTAATCACTGATGTGTTTGTGGCACTTCACGTCCCTGAAGCTCCAATTCCCAACCCTTAAAATAGGAAGATGGCACTCCTCTCAGAGCTAGTACAGAGTAAGCACTGGAGAGGGAAACATCACTGCCAGCCAAGCCTTGACACACACTCCACTCAGAGGCACCACCTCCAATCACTTTATGGCCAGATGCGATTACAATTTTCTACCAATTAGGTCAGTAGGAAACGACATGCTTGCACTGTTTTTGTCTCCCACCAGGTGGCACTGCTTTCCAACGAGTATTTTTTCCTGGCGAGTGGTGCTGGGACCCCCCTTCACAGTGGCTCTGAATTGGAGCTCCAAGAGGAAAACCAATGAAGCACCTTGAGTCCAGTGCACCCTACCTCAACCTCCCGTCCCCCTGCACCCCTACCCCACCTACCTCCCACCCCACACGACAAACGCTGCAACAGCATTTGGGGATGAAGAGCTTCTGGTGACAATGGGCAGTGGCTGGGCCTGTGACTTGGAGGAAAGGGCGGGCCTTTGGAACCCGGGTGCTGGGCATTCAGCACTTCACAGAAGAGCTGATATACTTGTCCGTCCACACACCTTGAGCCAGGCGTGACATTTTCAATAGGGTGGCATTGGGGGAACTATACACTTCTGAGATTTGGCAAAAAATTACTTCTACATGAATAGGCACAGTAGCTGTGATTTATACACAGTAACAACCAAAGTACTGGTGTTAAAGTGACTTTAGGAATCCAAGCTATGCAAACCAGTAATGAAGCCAGACAAGAAAGGATGGGCTGGCTAGCACAGCCGGCTGTCTCTGCCGAGTTCCCAGTGAAAGTCAATAGCACAGCTCTTCACTCAGGGTCCCCTGGTCACGGCTGCAGCTCCTCGGGGACACCAGAACCCTCCTCATTGTGGCTGTCCTTGCTCCCCGAAGAGAAGGAAGACAGATGCAGGTCCACATTTCCAGTCAGAGTTCATTTTATCCCATCTCGTGTCTCAACCACTGTTCTGAAAATGAATGGGTGTGCTGTATGTGTACACGCATTTGCATTATCTTGAGAAGAAATTCCCGAGGGTTATGGGGTTGGATTTTTGTAGAAGCGTGCTTCTATGTGCTTCATTGCCTCGGCCTTAGAATGCTGTCATAAGCATACAGAACTGAGTAAAGAAGTCTCCCAAGCTTGAGTGGATGTGGCTCTTGAGTAACAGATGCTATTAAAACTTGAAGTCTTTTAAAAGCTGGAACCTTTTAAAAAAAAAAAAAGTATATTTTTAGTATATAAAAAATTACATGTTAAATTCACCTACTAAGCAGACTTATTTTATGGAGTAATGACGGAATAACAGACATACACCTTGGCTATGTAAAACTGTGCATATCTACCATTAACTGGGAGGTTTCCAACTAGACAAACTCTTCAAGGTAGGTAAATTTTGTTGGCACATGGGGCAGACAACCAGCTCTTCCGACAGGTTTCTAGGTCCTCTTCCTCCTGTTGATAGAAAAGTCACTGCCTGAGGCCCTCAGTGCTATTACACAGATCCTTCTCTTTCTTCACATGATCCTCTGAACACCGTTTAAAAGAAAACATCTCACTTCATACCTCCCTTCTCCTTGGACTAAGTTGGTTTTTACGGCAATGACTTAGCCGTAAAATGTCTAGCCCCTCTGACCAAACTCTGAGCTTCCAGGCTTTCTTTAACCACTGAGCAGTTTTCTCAGACACCAGAGGCAATGTTTTTCCTGTTTAAAACCTGGTGACTTCCAACTTCAGTCCACTCCTGTTCTCACCCCATTCTACTGTGGGCACACCTACCCTCCTTGTTACAACACCCTTTACCACTAATGTTGGGCTCCTTCTTTCCTGACCCACACCACAGCCATTTGTCTAATTTTCTGTCACATGCTTCCTGTTCCCCATGCAGTCATGAATCTGGGCTCAACTCACCTCTCCCAAAGGCCTACAAAACCCCTCTGGAGTCACGTCCTGTGACAGCATCTTGGGAGACAGTCAGGATAGCATTTCAGGAGCCCTTAGTGCACAGCAGGAGCGTATCACTTGGAAGGAGCTATGGAGAATCTTGGAAAGCCAATGTATCTGCATGTAACGGTATGACTGCCCGCCTAGTTAGATGCTCTGACAAGCTCTGACACACAAACCAGGGCAGCACAAATCAGTGTTCCTGGCATCAATCACTGACTTAAGTTGAAAAGAAAAAGAGAAGCCACCGGGATGTCCATCGACAGAACAATGGATCCATTTATCAATACTCATCCTTTTGAGACTATTTCAAGGTGTGAAAATGAGTGTCAGGAGTGCAGCATGGGCCCCAAACCACATGAGCAGAGCTAGGCCCAGCGGGCTGTGTGAGAAGACTCCCTTTCAGACAGGTCAAGAAGAGCACAAGCAGATGGACTGGTGGGTGAAGGGTGAGAGCAGTGGGAGGCTGGTTAATGCAAAAGTTCATCCCTCCTGGGAGGGAAGCTGGTGCCTGTTGTGGCTTGAATGATAATATCCTCCAGTCTCAGGCACTGGTGACTAGTGACAGTCTGGGAGGCTTCGGTGGAGAAGTGCGTCACTGGAGGCAGGCTGTGGGAGTTCAAAGCCTCCTGCCACTCCCAGTTTGCTCTACTTCCCGCTTGCAGTTGAAGACAGCCCTCAGCATCACATCCTGTTCTGGCCTCCACACCTTCAAGGCTCCACCATTATGGATTCTAACTCTGTGGAATCATTAAGTTCAAAGAAGTTTTTCTTCTATAGGTTGCCTTGGCCATGTGTTTTATCATGACAGTAGTACAGTAACTAACATAGTGCTCTATGAACAACCAAACACACATGTGGCCAGGCAATAGTCTAATACCCTTCACAGTCTCCTGCCCACGCTGAATACCGGGGGTAGAGGCACTTCAGAAAAATCTTGTCAGCACAGCGGGCACACTGGTCTCCAACGTGTTAGAAATGTCTGATGGCTTTAAGACTTTGACTTAAACTGGATTATAGAAGAACAAACAACAAGAAAAAAACTCAATACTGAGCTATGATAGTTGTGTGCCTCCCACAGACAAAAAAGAAAAAAAATCAACAAAACGGAAAAATTGGGTCCTTTGTGCTGTGATTAAGGGGGATCCTAAAGCAGATCTAGTTTCTCGGGAGACGGGCTTCACCCTGTTTACGAAGATGGCCATGACATAGTGTTCCCTTCCTTTGGAGGCTGCACTGCTGACCTGCACCAGGGAAAGACTGAGGAACATCCAGGCGGCAAGTTACGCTGGGAGACACTGTCTATGTGAGGAGGGAAAGGAACTGATTCTTTAAAAGACAAATTACCATGAAAATCACTTCCAAGTTTATAAAACTTGCAATAAGGCACAATTCTTAAGCTGTTTTCATTTTTTTTATTGCTGTTAATTCAAGGAAAAAGGTTGCATAAAATCCAATCTGTCCTAGAAATATAAGTGGCCTTTCCAGTACACATCTCAAATATCAAAGTATACGGTAGACATACAAATGAAGAGGAGGAGGTGGCACACCTCCTGTGTACAGTACAGTATCTGAAACCATAAAACAAGCCCGTAAAGTACACCCAGCAAGTGAGCACAACGACCTACACAAGGCTTACTCTCCCCTGAACAACTCAACTGCAGCTTAACAAGTTAATAATGTGGTCCAAAAATACCCAGATCAAATAAAATATATTTAATCAAAATAATTTCCTTTACTTGAACTTTTTCTTTCTAAATTAAAGCTTTCATCTACCCGGTCACACTCCCCACTTCTCTCCCCATAGCGCCTCCATAGCGCCTCCCCCTGAAAGTTTCAGAATGTACATTGGTGCTATAAATATAAATGCTACTTCTGAAGTGTTGAACTAGCTTCTTTTTCTTCAAGTTTTTTTTTTTTTCCTTTGTCTCACAATGTCAGGCTTCCAAACCCAGACCAAACATTTCAGTGCCTCTGCCACAGCCCGACTGCATTCCCCATTACACCAGCCAATCCTTTCTCCTCTTTACCGAGGAATGGAAACCTCTTACCCTTTAAGCTTATGACTATGTGGTGGTACTTTCTCACTGCTCTTGACAGTAGCAGTCACTGAAGATACATCCAATCTCCCAGATAACCTCAGTGCACTTCAGGAAATCAAACAATTACCTGGAAGCAATTTAGTACATAGATTGGCTTTTTAAAAAAGTTAAAAAACAGAAAAACAGCAGCATTAAACTTAGTGACACAACACTGACATGATTAAGACCATCTCAACACACTCAGTCTCACATTATAGTCAAGCATAGTGGTCAACGGTCAGGAAAGTGACTGGCTTATGGTTAGGGAGCAGACAGACACCTGACTTTTGTAGAAACCCAGAGCTTCGGTTCAGCTGCGACAAACCACACACATGGAAACAAGGTGTAACACTGTGACAGCTGCTGCGGCAGAAGATGACATCTTCACTCAGGTAGTGTCTGATCAGGTCAAGGTGGTAGACAACAAGTAAACTGGCTGCTGACTGTCGTCACAGACACACGCGTACAGAGAACAGCATTCACACCAGTGTGTTCACCGTGTCTCTGAAGCAACAGGCTACAAGAGTCTGCTGGAAGGAAAAGTTCTCTCCTCTCAAGGAAACAAGGTTTGTCCAGGTCACATTCTCGGCTTCTCGCAGGCTGACTTCCTCTCTCCCACTTGTTTTCATGTTATGTGGACAAGTGCTGCGTGTATGTATTTGCGTGAGGTTTGTGTGACATATATACACATCTTGGGAATCTGACTTCTCCACGTATGGTGAAACACGTTGCCCTTGGTTCATTTCGTACACAGAGCAGGTTACAGAGTGCGGCAAGGACACTGCTGAGCACTCCCGCAGCAGGCCGGGAACAGGGTCCGAGTGAGCAAGCCACAAGCAGCACAGCTTTTTTCCAAACCATACAACTGTCACCAGTGTCGTGAGAACAAATAAGGTCAACACACAGTCTAAAGATTCAGTAAACATTGCACACAGCAAGTATTCAGTGTAAAAAAGCACACATCAATATTGTTTGTTCGAGAGTCTGTCTGAAATTTAAGTTACACGTATCATACAAGCCTGCTGTGGAACCAGGGGACCAGAGGCTCAGGAGCATCGCATTCTTTCTTATTTTGGACACTGGTACAAGAGAAATGAAAACGCTCAACTGCATAGAAATTTAGGAAATGTACAAAGAAACAAAATACCTTTCCTTTCCTCCCCTCCACACCCCATGACTCCCCACACTTGAATGCATTAAGTAGGCAAGCTTTACTCGTTCAGTCTGCAGAATCCAACGTATCATTAGAAGGGGGGAGGGGAGGTGCGTATCTCAGTCTGTAAGTGCCTAAAACAGGAAAGACAGATGGCTAAGTCACCGCTCATGACTGCACATCACAAACCACTACACAAGACTGCAAATGGGCATGCTTTCAAAGGCCCTTCCTTCCTCAGCACTAACTCTGGTCCAAAATGGCAAGTAAAGTACTCTCCCAAAAGCAATGGCCAGCCTGTGCTTCAAGGATAACCTGAAGCTGTTGAACTGGATTTTCCTTTGAGGATGCCTAATAGTTTCCTGATTCAAGACGACCTTTCCTGGGTAACATCTGGCACAGTGACAAAGCTGGCCCACACCCACACCTAGTTAAGCTCTTCTTTCTGGAGTTAGCACTTCTCAACTTCACTCTTGTTTCCTAACTCCTAAACTGGTGTTCAAATTATTTTGTTCCTGTAAAAATTCAATGGACTCTTGGAATTTCTTCTCTTCTGTGTACTGAACTAAAGGGCAGCTGGTTGACTCTAATCAGACTAAAAACGTTTTATGCCTGATAACCAGCTTACATCTCGTTTTCAATATTTGAAAACTTTGCTTCCTCTGTGAAAGAGGATTATAACTCTTAAAATACAGCATTGCAAGCAAGGGACTTAACATTTTAGAATTTAGATTTCCATGATATCCCTTGAACCCTTGAAAAGTGCCTCTGGCGTTTATTCCTTAGTGACAAACTAAACTTCCTCTGACCTTTGTTGTGCTACGTGGATCTACACTAGAGTTTCTCTGGTTGCACTGTGATTTGTCACTGAAAATACAACCTCTGTAAACAAACACACAAACGGATCTTTCTGCTAAGACAGAATCACATAATCAAGAAGGAAGAAGAAACGGGGGGACCTCAGAAACAAGTCCTCTGGGAGTTAGTGTGATTACCTTGTTGACTGGCCTCCATGGATGACTGCTTACAGTCCTGTGCATAATGTCCGCTCACACCACAATTGTAACATGAGACATTCCCATTCTTCTTGGGCCCAGAACCACTGGTGTTGGCAACTACATTAGGTGCTGGATATACAGGGTACAATCTCCCAAATCCTGCCATCTGCTGCATGCCATAGTTGGCTTGGCTCCCCATGACTGGGTCATGCACCAGTCCATTTGCATATGGAGTCTGAGGCAGAAAAAAAGGAAGTTGGTTCCCATTGCTCTGATGTGCTTGGTTGAGGTAGCTGCCATTGCAAATGGATGGCAGAGTAAAGAATGATGGGACTCGGTACACTGGTCCAGGCATCGGATTGGGATAATAGTAACTACTTAGCTGAAGGTTTCCATTGGTCCCACAGCTGCACCTTCGCCCACACGAACCACAAGGACCTGAGCCCATCTGCTGTGGTGGCACTAGGGTCCCATTAGCGTTCGTGTTCCCCACAGCATTGATGTAAGATGTGCTATCGCTCTGAGCAGTGCTGTGTGTCAAGGCAGGGCTGGGGCTTGGGGCAGGGCCCGGGGTGTGGGTAGGAACAGCAGGAGGAACTGTGGACTGGGCTTGACTGATGCCTGCACTTGTTGGCTGGGCAGAAGTGGCTGTGTTGAGCACACTGGAATTCTGGGTGGGTAGCACACTGGCAGCAAGGGGTGAGCCTGGAAAGGTGTAGGAAGCTGGTGGCTGTGCAGCTGAGAGGCCAGCCGCTGGAAGAACTACCTTCACATTGGTAGGCTGAGGGACTGTTCCTGGGTTTCCCTCAATCTGAGGCACCATTTGATTTAGTCCTACCAGTTGGGATGCAGATTTTGTGATGGGGTCCGTGGTAGCCACAGGAGATCCTGGGAAACTACCTGGGTTATGGACAGGAATAAAGGCAGTGTTTGGTGATCCAATGCTCAGACTTCCGCTTGGCTGTTGTGGAATATTAACTGCGCAACTCTCAGATGATCCCTGTGGTGGTGGCAATTTTAGTCTCTGCAATGTTAGCTGCAAAGCAGGAGTACTACTGTGTGGAAGGAAGGAGGATGGGATAGGTAAAGGGGAAGCCAACAATTCCAGGTGTTTCTCTGATTCTCCAGAAGCTGTGGGGCCCAGGATTCCAACAGGGCTTGAATTTGTGGGCTCCATCACTGTAGAAATCGCCATAGGGTTAGGAACAAGCATCCCTATTGCTTTGCCATCTGCAGATTTGGGTGAAGGAATGACAACTTCTGACTTCTGGGCACCATTGTGCATGACACAGTGTAGAGTTGGCATAAAGGGAATATGTGGATACTTGTGTGAGGACAGCGGGGCTTCTAAAAGGCTTCCATTCTCGGTCCCCAGGGAGACAATCTGAACAGGTGGCTTGACAGTGACAGTCTGGTGGACAGAGCCATAATCTGTAAACCTGGCTGCTGATGGGCTCCCAGAATCTTCAGAATTGCTGTCAGTATCTAAAGAAAACAGCAAACGTGGATTAACCCAGGCTAAATTCCTACTTTTCTTACTAGCACTAAAATTTCAGTCTATCTAAAATTAATTCAAGTCTGCTATGTTTTGCTCTGTCACAATTTTCAACTGCCCGAGCTTTCAGTATGCTTTAATCTCTAAAAACAACAACAAAGGTCACTGGAGTGTGAGACATAAGAGATATGCATGCACTACTACTTGACTGCTGAGAAAAGCATTAAACAACAATTTTAGGTAATCTACTTAATTCTGTACCATCAAAAACTCGATTTTAAATTTATCTCATGAATGATTCAATTTAAAGAGTATGATCAGAACAATATTTAACTCAAATGCTTAAGGTAGGAAATGGACTATGTACTTGTGCTACTATCTATTCAATAGGGAGCATTTAAAGCTACTTGTATTAGTCCTACAATGAATATTCCGGAACACAAAAGGCGGATAAGAAAGAAAACACCACCATTTCTCCACAACTACACAGAGACACAACACTGTGCTTCACCTATGTACTCCTGTAGCACACCACAGTACACACACAAGTCACTCCAGCTCCCAGACAGGGCAGAGAGGAGCCAAGGCACTACCTGGTGCAGTGTTTACACATGGTAAATACTGCACTGCAGTCTGCACAGCTTATCAGTTAGACGGAGCACTAACTGTAAAAATCTTTTTGCTCGTGAATTAAGCAGGATTACACTTGGGACTTAGTGTTCATTAAGTCAAGAACTGGTTACATGTAGCTAGCAATGCTAAACATCCTTGAAACAATTAATTAACCTTCCTACAGAAAAGCTAAACAGAACCCACTTGACACAGAATATCAAGTATTATTAACTGAATTGTCTCAATTTATATTAGAGGGGAGCCGAATTAATGAGTGAATGGTTTTATCAAATATGGCCCCTAACATAAATTATTATACTACTCATTATTAACGTTAGAAAGAATCTCCCTAAATTAATAACCTCTTCAAGGCACTGGATGTGTACTATCCATCAGTGCAGAGTTCAGAACAAAAATCAAGTCCAAAAAGAAAAAAGAAGCCATCTTTCAGATGCTCAGTTAAATTTCCACATGAATTCAAACCTCTAGTCTCAGGCACAGTGATAACTGATTTTTGGAGCACTATAGGGATCAGGGGGAAGGATGTTTGTGTACTGACTTGGGAAAGCAGAAAGTCTGAGCATCATTACAACAACAGAGCCACACGCTTCTGAAGGCCTTTGTGTGCACTCAAAGCTTTGCATCCCAGTGTGTGCCTGGGAGCACCCTGAGGGACTTTGTCTCTGGGGAAGCCACCATGAATAAAGGGCAATGTCCTCCACACAGGCCTATCAACTACAGATCTGAGAACAAGAAGGGATGCTATCAGAGTTACCCACAGTTCCGACAACCAGGTGAAATCTGCTCAAGACTCACAGAATTATCTGCACACTCCACAGAACCAAGTACAATGTGCACCACAATATACTGAAAGCCCGTCTACTCTAGATAAGGCAAAAAGATCCTCTCAATGTCCCATAGCTCTGAGGTTATTTTTTCCTTTGAGGAAACTATGCAGAAGTGCAGTGTGGTCGCACATCTGTAGCACTGACCACTGCAGGCTTCATTTGATCTGACCGTGAAACAACCCAAGGTAAAGACTGACTTCAACTGTCTGAAAAGTCGTAGTATCCTGACATGCTATGACAGTGACACAGAAGCTCAGGTCCCAGCAAGCTCAAAACTGTGCAGCAAGAAGCCACATCTGGCTGAAATACCATGGTGTTAAGAATTTAACAGAAAAACTGTCTGAGACTACGCTCAGCATGGTACCCTCACTGTCATGAGGTCAGCCTTTGGTTGTGGTTGGCATATCTGAAGGACAGCATCCTCATTAAACACAGACTTTTCAAGGGTGTCTTACTGTCAGACCAGAATGGTAAGTCTCTCCAACGAGAATAGCAGAAATGTCAAAATCAACTTTCTCAGAAAGGTGAAAACTAACTAAAGGCCTGGAGCGATCATAGGGTGTGTAAGAGATATCGGTCAATCTCTTATGAATGGAGATCCTTGCCCTACCCTCATCCCATCTCCTCCCCAGTCCACAGACAGTAGCTTTGGAGACCACTAACACAGCCATCACTAGAAAGATGTAGTGTGGAGTCCCCCCAAACACTACCCCACAAGACCCGCCCCCATGTGAGCTGAGTGGTTGCTGTGCTGACCATGCCAGTCCCCATCCATAAGACAACCCTGTTTTGTTATAATCCCTTTCCCTGTCTACTGACTTCATATGCAGTGAATGGTCTTTAAATACCTTTAATAACAAATTTTAAGTCAACAGCGGGTTGTTTAGGAGATAACAGTTTCATCTGCCCCCACCTCTTTCTATCCCTCTGCTAAAAGCAAACCTCTGTCCTTTTCTTCTTCACTTTCAAAACTTTCTCTTCCATCATGTCGTGGACTAGACGGAGAACTGTAACTCTCTGAAGATGTTTCTCCACATGTGTCATGTCCAGATCCAATGTCCAAATTCATATCTAAAAACAACAGCTCTAAAGTTATATTAAACAGTTATATTAATTTTCAAACGGAACCATTAGAAATTTGTCTTTGATCTGTGTTAAAATTCATTATTAAGTAGCTGATAAATACATATTTAAAACAAAGGCATACAACAAGTCAATTTTACTAACTTAATCAGAATTAGTTTCTTGTAGGGACAGTCCAATATCACCACTTTGAGCTATGTTCTAAGTCTACAGAGTCTATCTCCCTAGAGCTTGCTAAAGAAATCCTCCAAGAGTAGGTGGTATATCATAATATATGTTCTGTTAAAACCACTAGCCATGCCAGAGTATTTAAAACAACAGCATGCTTCTCATCTAGCGGACTAGGCAGCCCCTTAACTTCTACCCAGAGGCCATTCCTATGCCAAGACAAGGCAGGGTGACTGCAGTAAGGGCAAGTGTCAGTTAGTGGCGTCTGCTGTGGGCATAGTAGGACAGAAGATTCTCGTGTCCACTGTGAGTCACTCCTACACCAACCCAGACTGTAAACTTCACTTCTGTAAACCCCACTGCTAACACAGCTTCGGTTACAGCATGTTTACTGCACAAATCCAAACGAGCAGCTATGTGTGTGTGTACATGTATGTGTATGGGCATGTGCCTGTGCACATAGGCGGAGACCAGGAGGGCGCCATGGCTTCTATCACTCTCCACTTATGTCCCCGAAATGTAGTCTCTCCCTGGTCTGAGGGCTCAGGTTTTCTGTGAGGCTGGAAGTCAGAAGCCTCAGCAGCTGCCCCTGCTCCTGCCCCCCATTTCCAGGGTTAAAGGCTCCTGCAAGATCATATCCAGTTCATTTTGTGGGTGCTGCAATAAGAACTCGAATCCTCATCATTGTGCATCCAGTGTTCCTAACCACTGAGCCATCTGTCCAGCCCCCAAAGCATAGGGTCTTAGTAAGTTCTTAATGGTCTCTGTGTGGTAATAATCTATCTCTTAGAACGGAGTTATAAAGTGATTTTTTTTTAAAGGACATGATTTTACTGAGTAGTCTAGTCTGGTCTTGAATTGATAATATTTGTGCTTCAGCCTATAAAGCCCTGGGATTTCAGGAGTGTGCACTACCATCGCTACCACTGAGACATCCAAGTTTTCAAAGAAAATACACTGCCAACAGAGGTGACTAATAGCACGGGCTGTTTCCTGGAAGCAGAAAACACAGAAGGAGCAGTGAGAAATCTCTATTTTGTTCCCTTTCCTATTTCTGAGATGCACGAATAACATACTGTCAGTCAAAGGAGAAATTAAAATTTAAAATAAAATTTTAAAAATTAAATGACACCCATCTTAGATGGACCCACTGTTTAACGCCGAACAGTGCACTAATCAGAAGGACCCACTCTCTCAGCTCTTACACACTATCTGCATTTCATGACAGCAGCTGCTCCGTACGGGTAGAAAATAATTATTTCCAGTTTATTGAATTCTTAAAGGCTGTTCTTTGTTGGCACTGTAATCCTTCAGAGGAAAATAAACGGGTTTGTTTTCTTAGGTTGGGGTTGTCATACATCTGAATTACATAAAGACATCAATGAGACAAGATGCTCAGAGTACACTTTATTCATAGTCCTACCTGATAAGTGTGAGTCAATTACACATATCTGTACACATAAACATACTGAAAACAAAACAAAACACACCCAAAACAACTCCCAAATAGGACAAGGTTTGACTTACTCAAAAAGCCTGATTATTATAAAACTTGAAAATTAGAGAGATAAAGGGGAAAGGAATTGGAGTTTGGGATGCTTCAAGGCTTGTAATAACTTAAAAATGTGTATTTTCTTCTGATTTAGTAGCACAAGGAGCAAGAAGTAAATCATTGAGCATCTCTTCAGTCAGTGCTAAGTCTGTTCACAGGCTGTTACATGTGATTTACAATTAGGGGAGGAAGACGTTATTTCTGGCTTATACACAACAATGATACAACTTGAGCGGCCACACATCTAAGAAACAAGGACACAGAACCAAACCCAGGGATGGCTCTGACCAAAGTCCATGAGATGTTTTCTGGATATCTGGGCCAAAAAAAGATAACAGCTGCATTGCAGCATCTGGGGGAGGCCCGAGTTCTAGAAGTGTGTGAAATCAGAGTGGGACCTCATAAATGGTGGTGCACACAGGACCTGCCCAGGAGAGTACCTCAGCTAAACACATTCTTTGAAAACAAACATGGAAGCAATATGGAGAATGAGCCAGGGGAACAGGACAGGAAGCCCTGGCAGGAGTGATTTCTAGTCAGCCACCAGCAGACCAACCTTTTTCACCATTTGGAACATCAGATAACAAAGTGCTACCACATGCTCCTGGACTACATCCTTATGTAGGCAGGATGGGTTTTTCTAGCTCATCTTTCCCCCTTATGGAGGTCTGAATGAGAATGGCCCTCATAGGCTCAAACGTTTGAATGCTTGGTCCCCAGTTAGTGGAACTGTCTGGGAACAATTAAGAAGTGTGGCCTTTTTGGAGGAGGTGTGTCACTGGAGGTAGGCTTTGAAGTTTCAAAAAGTCTACACCACTTCACGTTAGCTCTCTCTGCCTCTGCTTGGGACCAGGATGTGAGCTCTCACCTACTGCTCCAGCACCATGTCTGCCTGCCTGCTGCCCTGCTCCCCCGCCACTGTAGTCACAACCCACCCTTTGAAACGGCACGCCCTAAATAAAACACTTTTATAAGTTCCCGTGGTCATAGTGTTTAATCACAGCAACAGAAAAGTGAAGTCACTCCCAATTTAGCTAATACAACAAACTGGCATAATCTGAGATTCAAAATACAATCATTTTTCTTTCTATACTATTTACTCTGTCTCTATGATCACCTAGCTGAAAATACATCCTAATTTAGAAATATTCTTGTTACTTTTGTTATATCACAAATTAATATGCTGCAAGGACAGTAAGATTTAAAAAACAAAACCAAACCAAACCCAAACCAACCATTTGTGGAATCAGCTAGTTACTGTCAGGTGCACACACAGAATATTTTCCTAGAGGTCTATGGTTTTTCCCTCTTTTTCGATTTTTACAATTAATACTACAGGCAAACAAAACACAAAAAGCAACTGATGTACTAGAAAAAGAGGGCTTTTCCATCAGATGAACCTTAATCCTAAACAGAGGGACTTCAAGTCCCTATCTTAAAGATGGTTGGTAAATGGAAACTAAACAACCTAGTCCAACAAAGCTCCGTAAGTTAAGTCATCAAATATAAAAATGTCAGTAACATTCTAAAATTGATTCTGCAAGAGTATGTCTAGATTTCCCTGAGGGTGCTCCACAACGCTGAGAGAAGACTGCCGTAATGTCAGAGCCAGCCAGCTCCACAGTGGAGACTGGCTACTGCTGACACGACCCCTAAGTTACCGTTTTACCTTCAGGAATATCTAACAACGGCCTGGCGACAGCTCAGGGTCCACCGAGATGTTACATTGCAGATGTAGAGAGGACACTGGAGAGGAAGCCTTCCTTACCTTTCCCAGGACTGCCATGAGCGTGCTGAGGAGCAGAGAGTCTAACACCATTTATTCTACTGCTCAATCTGTTCTCCGTTTTCTTAATTTTCTCCCTAAACCAAACCGATATATATATATATATAGAAAATCAACACTTGTAAGACCCTCTATCAAAAACATTAAACACAGTATTACTAAAATCCTCCAGATATTTGTATCATTAAAAACAAACTCTATGAAAACCTAGAGTGTCACCATTCAGTGTGCTTCTGAGAGCTCTGCCCTCCACACCAAACACATTCTTTGATAGGAGCTTTCCTTCCACCACGTGTATGGTGATAATTTCAACTACAAATGTTAACCCCAAAACTAAAAGAAAAGTAAAAATCAATGGAATATACTGTACACACACACACACACACACACACACACACACACACACACACACACACACACACACACTAAATACATCCATAACCAGATACTGAATGCTTATCTTTCCTAATTTTTATTACTGAAAACATTAAATTGAACCTACTTTTCTATCTGTGGCTTCCCTTTCTTCTTATTTACTGAAGATAAGCTCCGTTTTTCAGCAGAGTGCTAGTAGAAATAAAAAAAAAAAAAGACCTCAGCTACACCACACATTGCTGTAGGTATCCTTATTCTAGTACCAAACACAACAAAGACCATTCTCCATCACAAACTAACAAATTTTGATTTCCAGCCCACTTCTGAAGTTACCTACAGAAGCACTAAATAAAATGTACACATTCTATGACAAATACTTAACATTAATCATGAGAAAACTGTTCTAAAACAGATCTCGACTTTCCTTTATCTGACTGCAGGTCTCCTTAATTGCACCCTGACTTTCCAAAGTCAAGCAGTCAAAAGCACACTAATGCATACTTCCAGAGGTGAACATGCCCTGTGTCTTACACTCCTGCTCTGAGCAGCGTGGTGAAATCTCACTCTGTTCCACCCTCCTGGGACACAAGCACATCTATGCCACATTCACTGCTGGCCTGAGAGCAGCTAAGCACATGAACACAAGCACATAAATTATGATACTCTACTGTTACAACTTATTTTATAATGTTACTGTTGAGAACCTTGTACTAGGCCCACTTATAAAGTTTATCATAGCTCTGCATTCATGTATAGGAAGATACAGGGTTTTCAGGTACTCTACTGAGTTCTGGAAACGTTACCTCTGTGGACAAGGGAGACTACTGCCCCAAACAGACTATGATCCAGTGACTGGTATTTGCTATGGGTCTTCACATGCAGCTCAGGTCAATGAAACTGACATATTTGTCACACTTAAGGGAAGCCACAGACATTGGAGTAGAGAGAACGAAGAATCAGGGGGCTTTAACAAGGAGACCATTAATTATGACAGTGATAACTTAAAACTTCCCAAAATATGCTTTTGTCCATAAAAAGAGGTATGAAGCTGTGTATTGGTCAGAAACATAATAAAGTTCACAAATCAATCTTCCAGACAGAACACACTAGCAACACGGGAGTTTCCTGGCCCAGTATGTGGTGGTATATGATATAAATGCACCACTAGCAGCCTCCTCTCATCACAGCAGTTCATAAGGAAGCAAACATTCGCTTAGCATATGCAAGAAAGTGGGTAACCTGCCTCAACACTACAAGGAAAGGTCAGTGTGAAAATTCCTATCATCGTATCAAGATAGTGATTTAACAGGTGAATAATCCTTTTGAGACCAAAATAATAATAATAATGATGATAATAATAATAATAGTAATAATAAATTGGAACAAATTAATGAACCCCTAGAACTAGAATAAAGACTTGAAGTGTCTTATTAAATTGTGGTAGTCTTTCAGACGTCAGGAATCCAATTACATATACGGATAAAGGCTCCCACAGAAACATTTCCTCACTTCTTACCAGAGAAGCCACCTGACCAAGGCTCACAGCACTCACTCCTTAGGAAAGAGAGAGCAGCAATGCTTTTGCCAAATGGCCCCAAAGCCACCCTGACACATACCTGGTCAGCCGAGGCTGTGGGCTCTGGGTGCTGGATGGTGGCACAGCCTTGGCTCCTCCAATCCACAGTTCCATTCTGTTCTGCATACTGCAAGGTAAGCCCATCCAACGGAGAACAGCTCGTACCAACACTGCTAACACAAGGAAAGACAATGACAGTGTCAAGTCTGTCCCCTAACTCAACCTACTCTCCACCTCAAGGAAGAAGCTACAGGAGCCTTTCTCTAAACCTCTCCTTTCTGTTTGTGGAGTGCCCAGTCATCAGCATATAGGCATACGGAAACGAGTATACTCGAAGAAGTAAGTGACATCTCTATAATTTATCAGCAAGAGTCTACTTGCCATTAGTGCCTGTGTGACTGGGGTGTCCCTGCGTCCACTGTCAGTCAGCTCAACAGAGACACTGCACAGCCTGGATCAGGCAAGAACTGCTGAGTGAAGAGCTGTATGAACAGGTACATGAAGGATCAACAGTGTGACGGGGAACCCCCTCAAAATACAGACAACAGGACGGGCCTAACGCATCCAGAGAATGAAATTATTGGGGACAGACTGGGTGTTGAACACTGTTAACCAATACAGAAGACTGAGGATTCTTCAGAGTGTCTGAAAAAAACAAATGTAAAGTCTTCAACTGCAAAAATGGGGAGAAGAATTCAGGGGATGGGGAGCTGAACAGGAGAACTGACAGGACAAGAAAAAACTCACATAAAAACATCAAAGACAAGCAGAATGTGTGAACAGCCCAACTCATAAGGACTTCAGTGACTTTTACAAGATGGCTCAAGAGAACAGAATAGAAGGAATATCTGAAAACATAAGCTGGGAATTTTGTAAAACCAAGACATAAGTTACAGATTCTAGAAGCAGAATGCAAAAGCAGCTACAAAGTCTATCACAGACAACTGAGAAAAACCCAAAAGCCAGGAGGAAAACACCAAAAGAACAGCAGAGATTGGTTCAACAATGGGGTGACAACTCCAGATCTAAGAGCAGGCTAAGTGACAGCCTTGATTTGAGAGGGGCTCTCCGAGAGAAGGACCAAGGGAGGCCATAAGCCAAGGAGCTCCAAGACCATCTACAAAACCAGGAAGCAGGCACCCCCAGAACCAGCAAGGGCCCTGGTGCAGAAAGCAGGAAGCCTTGTGGCACTCGAGTGAGCAGGGCAGTATTGTTGCTATGTGAGCTCGAAATCACATAATGATTTTATGTGGTCTGCCAGAGATCAGAGGTGGCTGATGGGATTTGTACACAACAGGTGAAAACTATATGACCAGAAGAAAGTCAAGTATAGACTCAAAAAGCTAACAGCAAATAACTGCCAACCTAGAATCATTATCAAGCAAAAAGACTTTAAAAAAAAAATGAAGGCACATGTTTTGCTGACTCCCGTGGGGGTCCTGTCCCTTTCTGAATGGGGACAACAGAGATGGAGGAAGAGTGGATGGGGTGGGCGGAGGGAGGGAGGGAAGACTGTGGTTGATATGTAAAATAAATGAAAAAATTTAATAACGAAATTTTAAAAATGAAGGCAAGCTACATTTTTTTTCCTTCAGATTAAAAACAAACTGCACTCAGGGTTAAGTGTAGCTTAGTGGTAGAGGGCTTGCCTAGCATTTGTGAGTAGCTATGTCCAACATCTAGTAATACAACACACACACACACACACACACACACACACACACACACACACACACACATACACACACAACTGCATTTACCATATACAGATGTATTTCAGGAAACAGTGCTTTCATTTAAAAGGAAAGCCATCATGGGTGGGTGCTTGGGGACAAGAAGGAGCAAAAAGGGACCAAAATGAACACTGGAAAAGGGTGTCACAAAATTTAAAGCTATGAAGAGAATGAAAATGCATGATGATTGTGATTTACAACTCAGAAAAAAAAAATGAAGTCACAGCGCTCCAAGTTGCTCAGATTATCTGAGGAATGCTGCAAGCACAAATTTACACTAGACTTGAAGAGGTGAACGACGCACAATTTGGGGAGCAACCACCAGAAAACAAAGTACATTAACTGTGACAGCTGCCACAGGAGAATTCCTCCAGAAGGCTGCAAGGAAGAGGACAAAAGAAACAGCAGGCAAGACAGCTGGACAGACCGTCAAGAAACACACCGGAAGCTTCACTCAGTGTTAGGTTAAGGTGCACGAAGGCATTCTCGCTTTATTATCAGATACCTACTTCCCAGCGGGGCTCTTCCCAGCGTGTTTCTTGTGGATTATGGTGTGCTGTAACACATCTAGGGCAGAAAAAACCAGAATTATTTCAGGGCACTATATGCTCTCCTAACTGCAGCAGCTCCCCAGTGGTGGTCCCTGCCGAGCACTGCCACCCAGTTCCCAGCACAAGGGGAGCTTGTGCTTGTTTCTGTGAGACAGGGTCTACTACACAGTCCAGGCTGACTCAGATTCCAGATCTGCCTCACACTCCTGGATGCTGGACTACAGGTGTGCACCACTACACCCAGCTTACAGAAGATACCTTAACACATCTTCAATTACCTAATATGCTACCAAATAACCTCAAATGTGCATACCAATCTTGCTCAAAATTATGCAAATTTAATATGAGCATATTACTTCAAACTGTATTTACTTCAGGTAAAACTCTTTATTTCCATTTTAAAAAGGATGCCCATATTTTTAAGTCTGTAAGAAACACACATATCCATGTACCAGACCACTCTCCAGTTGCTTAAAAAAGGAAACAACTTGTGAGATAACGCTGAGGGTCCCCCTTTACTCCACTCCTCCCCTCTACAGAGGTTAACTATCTCTAACTTGTTAAGCACTCCAGTGAAAGCTCCATTTTAACTACTTGCATATGTATGTACATTCATAAACTCATATGGGGCTGTGGAGTGAATATGCTACAAACATCCTTTAACTCCTGCCCAGCACACATATCACTATTTAGTTGAAACACTCAGGCAACTCTGCATCTGTGGCAGCCAGCACATGGGCAGGTTTCAGAGATGCGGAATCAGCAGGCAGCAGCCACGATCTCCAGCTTCACTGCATCTTGTCAAATTCTGTGCAAACACGTTGGCAATTTACATCTCGTCCATAATGTCTGCGCTCTCACTGCCATTGTGTGTGGCGTCAGACTTGAAAATGACTCACAGGCCTCAAGAATGTGCACTGTTGTCTGTCTGTCCTTTCCTTCAATTTCTCAATTACCTGTGAGGCTATACGCCTATCAGCTTGAGGGGTTCGTCATCCCCTCACATTTCTCACATTTCTGTTAGGATGCCTTTTTCACTGATTTCTGTTCAAGGATCCTTCTATTGTCTTCTTCCTGTCAAATCCTCGCTAGTATCTCATCTGTGGACTGTCTTCTAAAATTATCTGGGCTCTTTGGTCATATACTAAGTTCTTGCTTAGATTAGTCAAATGTATGCTCAGGATCTGCTTATTAAAGAAAGCATTCTCTCCCCAGGTTTACATACCAAACTTTAAACTTTACATTTTACAAAGAGTCAAAGTTTTGTGCGTGACAAACGGTGGGGTCTGACTAACACATACGTCACACAGAAAGCCAGCTGTGCCAACCATGGAGTGAGCAGCCTCTTCCTTGCCCACTGTACTGTAATGCCACTAACACACCCCAGGCCCTGTCTGTAACTGGGCTCTCTTTACTCTGTTCTGACCCTGTGTCAGTGTAGGCAGACTTAGTCTAGTGAGTCTACGATTACCTTCTTCTTGACTTGAAGCTTCTGAGCTGTCTTCTTTTAAGTGTTCTAATATCTTAGAAGTCTTCAGAGAGGACTGTAAGTTATCTGCAGGAAATAATTCAATACTACTAACTCTAGGAAAATTATAATGGTGAGATAAAGAAAGTAAGTATAATGACTATCCCTCTGCCCCAAGAAGAGGAGAGCGAAGGGTCACTGGAGAAAAACCTTTCTTCAAGAGTGCACAGGTCTGTTTGAGTGGAGTCCTGGAGCAAGCTGCTCCCCGAGGCTCCACTTGGCTGGAGCAAACCATCCACACCTGTCAGTCCCAGGATGCTCACTCACCAGAGGACCAAATGGAGAGTGTGCCTCTGCTATCTACTGTCTAAACTTTTTGAGACTTCCAGTTTGTTGTACACTTACTTTTTAAAACCCCGTAACAACACTGTGGTGATACTGAACTGCTACAACACCCCAAATTTCTGTTTTGTTACAGAGCAATGACTGTGGGTCAGCCGTAACCCACGGGACACACTCTAACAGCAGTGGATCCCAGACAAGGAAGACTTAAGTCACTGAAGAGTGAAATACTGTTTGCTCAATAGTTATCTATCAGCATATGGGACACTGTTCTCTGCCCCAGGGTAACAAAAGGTAGAGGTGTTTTTTTTTTAAAGGTGTGCAAATGAACCCTGACAACACTGTGTTATTATTTAGCAAAACAACTCACACATGTATAGACTGCTGACAAGTTTCCCCACAATCCAAGATGTGTACATTCAACAGCATTTTACATGTTCAATCTTCAGACAAAATCTGCCAGGCTCCTTAGCATTGCTCATGAATTTAAAACCTTGCCAAGCCTCAAGAGACTTTGCCTTATGTATATGCATACTTCCCATGTGGGTAGCTTTCCTGGGCAGGGTGATAATCTGGGGTAGAAGCTTAACTTTCTGTTTCAACGCCTTTTTAGAATGAACCAGGTGCTACTGGTAAGAGACTATTAAAAAAAAAACTCACACTTTGACTTGGGGAGAAGTGTTGACTGTTAAGTATACAGAGTTCTAGAATAACCATGACTTTAAAAAACACTGTCACTATTCAGACATAAATTCAGCCATGGAGCCACACAGCTATACATCTTATTTCAGTCAACTAGTCACAGAACTATACTTTTGATCCTCACTGCTAACGAGGTTCCAAACATTTAAGGCATACACATGCACACTACATGTGCTGCTCCAGCAGTCAGTGAAATCTTGAAAGTTAATACACTGTTTAATCGTTAGTCACACTTTTCATCTCTAAAACTAGCATGCATTTTCTTTTTCCTTTAGGTATAGGAAAATGACAACTAAAAACAAAAGGAAAGGTTTAAAGAAAAAAATGTTCCTCAAAATATTGGCTGTGCTTAAAGTGAGTAGAAAATACCTATGGGACCTATCAGCATTATTGGCAAAATATGTGTTTAAAAGTCAGGCTGAGGAGACTTTGTAGAAAACTGAACACAAGACAGGACTGATGAGCGCTGCAACAGGAAAGCAAAACGACACTTAGAAGCAAGACTGTGGACCTTCCCAGAGAGGTGACGTTTCGGCCTGTACTCAGCAGCTGTGGGTTGAAGGGCGGTGCCGGACAGCGGTGGACAGACACCACAACAGTAAGCCGCAGGCTCTAGAAAGAGCTGGGCTTTCAAGCAGCTGCAGTCTAAGGGTCCAAGGGAAGCTCAAAGACTTTCACTAACACCGGGGTTTCTCACCAATTTTCAAGTTTTTAATCACAGAATTAACAAATACAACTTATCCCCAGAATAGTCCTGGATAAGGTTGCGGGTTGCGTTTATGTGAACAGCAGTGGGTTATTTTTTTTTGGGGGGGGGGGTTTCCAGACAGGATTTCTCTGTGTAGCTTTGGAGCCTGTCCTGGATCTTGCTCTGTAGACCAGGCTAGCCTCAAACTCACAAAGATCCACCTGCCTCTGCCTCCTGAGTGCTGGGATTAAAGGCCTGCACCACCACCATCCAGCAGTATTTTTAAGTAGTAGTTCATGAACAAAACAAAACCTATCTAAAAACAACAGAAAGGTGGGGAAGGGGCAAGAAAGGACAGCATGCGCTGTCTGACACGGGCTAGTCTTTAAATGTTGACTATCTAGAGTTGCATGAGATGGGTAAGGCTAAGGGACTCAACTGCCAGCGCCGGATAGCACAGAGGAGGAAGGAACACTGCACAATAGTGTAGCCAGCAGCTCTGCAGCCAGAACTGAAGCTCTGCCAGGGAACTGAAGGGCCGACTGTCCTGGTGGCCAGTCTGGTGGTTCTACAGCTCCTGCTGCACCATCTTCAACAGTGCAGTGTAAAGTTCACTAAAGAGGCCAAACATTTCTTAACGGCATGTCTCTATTCCTCAACTTTTAACTAAAATTCTTCAAGTCTGAACAACAAGATGGCACAGTAAGACACAAAAACCAAGCAAACAAACTCCATAAAAAAACGAAACACAAAACACACAGAAACACTTCCCAGATCTCCACGGAGGAACAGAGGGCACTTACTGAGGCTGTGTTGAGACTCCGAGGATATTGACCGGAAAAAGCTGCGTACTTTCTGACTCTGAAGAAAAGCCTGGGATGAAGTTGAAAATAGCTGCCTGCGTCAGAAGAAGAGTTACATGAACTACCACGACATATCTGTAGTCTCCTTCAGATTACAAAGCCAACTTAAGTGACGGCTGCATCCAAGCAGCGTGTGCGTGTGTTCGTGTATGAGGGTGTGCGTGTGTCTGCTGGGGGGGGTGGTCAAGCACCAGTATGTGGGGGGGGGTTGGGGGGTTGTAAGCCAAACCTTCCCCCAAAGAAAGCATTATTTTCTGATGTATTTCCATAGGAGTGAGGAAACTTTAACAAAACCTATTTGTAAGAATCTACTAAAAAGATTTATTTTTTATGGGGAAGTTTCAACCTGACCCCACCCCAACCCAAATAAAGGTTTTATTTCAGCTGTTTGCTTAGATGGTCCAAAAGCTACCTTTCTACTCAGAAAAAGGCCTGCAAAGCCTCCCTCTTCCTCATGCATGCTACTGTTCATCATCTGGTTGTTCTATCAAGGGACCTCCTCACATTCTGAGGAGAGGCTGGGAAACTTAGGATGTTAGGAGTTCTGGAAGATAGGGAGCACAGTGTGACAGGTCACCACCACATCACAAGGCATGGTAAGTCTGCACCACCCCGTGACTCTAATTTGCCTTAGCAAACAAGGGTCCTGCAGGAGGGCCGGAACCGGATCTGCAGCCCTCAGTTAGGGAAGAATCGGCCACTGACTGTCCCAGCCCTCTTTTTACTTACTTTTCCTAATTCTTTTTTGAGACAGGGTTTCTCTGTGTAGTTTTGGTGCCTGTCCGAGATCTCGGTCTGTAGACCAGACTGGCCTTGAACTCACAGAAATCCGCCTGGCTCTGCCTCCCAAGTGCTGGGATTAAAGGCGTGTACCACAGCTGCCCGGCTATTCTTGGTAATCCTTATTTTGAGACAGGGTCTCAATAACAGTCCAGAACTGCCCTGAACTCTTGTAGCTCATGCTAGCCTGGGTGACTGCAGGTCCATGCTGCTGGACTGGGCTCTTCTTGCTTCTGTTTATTTAGATTCTGTTTTCAATGTCCTACTCGTAGAAGTTAATTAAAAAACAAAACAAAACAACAACAACAAAAAACTATTCTAAGTACTTTTTTGGAGATAGGGTCTCGTGTTGAACTCCTGAGCTCAAGTAATCTTCCTGTCTCAGGGTCCCAGTGCTGAGGACTATAGGTGCATACCATCCATGTCCAGCTTTTATAACTAACTTTGAAGTAAGAAATGGCGTAACATTCCAAATGTCCTTTTTCCTACATGGCTACCGAGCTATCCCTGACAGTTAACCAACAACCTGGAAATTATCTTCCAATCTTAAAAGACATAAATGGGACACAAAAACAGACTGATATACCTAGCATCTGAAATTTCATTTTAACCATCACAGCTAAATAACACAAAGACAAATTGTCACTGTTAATTCCTATTTCATTAACAGCTACGAAAGTAATAAAAATCTAAGCAGATATATAGATAAAAATTCATGATTCCACCAAACAAACAAACAAAAACCCTGCTAGCCTTATAGGAAAATAGAATGAAAGAAAACTTAAGCCATGACACAATTACCCATCTATGAAACCAGCCAGTTCTTAAAAATGGGGCTCAAAGCTTGCCCAGCTATGGAAAGCCCTGCTCTGAGCAGGCACGGCTCTGAACATGACGATCTTACTATTTTAGAAAGTAAGCCAACTTCCAATCATCTCTCCTCAGCAACTAGCCATAAATCTGGGAATGTTTTTTTAGGTACAAACACTGGGTTACAAGGCAGAAGGGACAGACTTTACAGCCACTCAAAATGGTGTGAAGATGAATGTGCCGGTGCTACCTGTAGTCTTGGTACTTGAAGAGCACCAGGAGGAGGAATGCTAGCATCTGACGCCCTGCACTGGTCTACACAGTAAGTTTCAGGCCAGCCAGGATTACACTGTATGACTGTCACAAAGCAAAACAAGAACATTTTAAAGAACTAAATAATTTTAATTTGAGAGGTAACTTAACTGCAGATCTTAATTAGAGGGCAAAGAATAAATTAAAATGTCAACAAAACTTATCTGGGCAAGAGGGATCTTTTTCTTTCTCTTCTGAATTTCCTCATGGTCTTTATTGAGTACCTGGTAGATTTATCATAAACCACAAGACTATCCAAGGACAGAGTCATTGTACATTGAGCACTATGCATTAAGACATACCAAATTGAGATTATGAAGCTGCATCTCTCTCCACTGAGAAGCAAAACAGTGGAGCTTCTGTTCACTACTAGTTAGTATAGATGGTCTAGCTAGGTTCCAAGCACATACTGAAGCCAATACAGACAGGGACCAGTGCACACCAACCTTGCGGTCCATTTAAGGGTCATATCTGTTACCATTCATACACTAGAGGCTGTCATCTGGCTGGTCCATGCTCAGTCCCAGGCAGGCCCTAGGCCCACGCCACTAGACACACCCTAGCCTACAGTTCAGCTGGATGCAGTTCTCTGAGTACTGGATCAGCTGCAGAGGCCCTCTGTGAACCATCAGCACCTCCTGGAGCTTGCTGGAATCAGAATCCTCTGCCCCCCCCCCACTCCCCACCCCCAGTACTGGAGAATAAGGACCCACACTTTCACAAGGTCCCCCAGAAGTATACAAGCCCTCTGAAGTCTGAACACACAGGCACTGAAGAATTCAATTATCCACCTGCTAAACCTTTCCAGGGTGTCATCTGAGACTTCACAAATTAGCTGTAGAGCTTGTATGTCCTTATTCTTAAACTCAAGGCTGCAGCTTTCTTCACAGCTGTCCTGGTGGAAGGTGTACTCATGTGCCTCTAAGCCCTTGACCTGCCAATCAACCTCTCCTTCTCCACTGTACCCAGTCTACAGCCATTAAGTCCCCTGCCAACTTTTAGATCCACCTTCCACATTCACGTTCAGTTTTGGAACCAGCCTCAGTTTCTCTCCCTCTCTAAGTCATGGATCACTTGGTAATGACGTGGGTGTCTGCAAGGGTAATCACTCTGGGATCCATCTCATCCCAGTCTTTTTCTCCCAGTCACACTCTGGATTTCATGATTCAATGGCAATAGGTCCCATTCCAGATTCTTGCCTATCTCTATTGGGGAGCAAGCACTCTTGCCTTCCTCCTCCTTGGCCATACCGATCCCAACAACACTCTGGGACACAGCTGCAATTAGGAAGGCAAACCAGAGGGGCCTCACTTAAGCCTGACCCTGAGCCATGTGGTCATACTTTCACTTAGTCTTTTAATAACTAAGTTTCCAGTGAAACACCTACTGTTTCCTTGGCACCTTGAAGGGGTAAGCTGGTAACTGTCACAACCATGCTCTAACCCCCAGCATGTAAGCAACTGCTCCACTCCAGGACGTATGTCTCAGACATCCCATGCCAATACTCGATGTGACTCTTTGTGCTTTATGACCTGGAACATTCCCATGATTCTCAGCACTGTATGTTCTACATAACCGATTCACTTACTCCACTCTTCTCTGTTCAGCTCAGATTTGAACGCTCACTTTTCCAAAACTGAACTACTGTCCTAAAATCGCTTGCCTTGTGCTACTGTTCTACCTAGGAAAGCCTCCATTTAGGACAAATGCAACCATCCACTTTCCTTATACTTAGACTGGAATTGCTGAAAAATGTCTTCTAATAAATACAACAGGGAAGCTAATGTCATTACAGACCTACTTACTTGACCTTCAGGTAATCCCCATTCCCGCGTAGCTTCTCAGTTTCCTTCACTCAGTTATTCTCTTAGCTTTTGTACATGGTGCGTTTTTTGTTTTGTGTTAAAGACAAGGTCTTCCTATGCAGCCCTGACTGGCCTCAAATTCTCTAAGTAGACAAAGCTCGCCTCGAATTCAGAGATCCATGTGTCCAAGTTCTGGGATTAAAGGTGTGGGCCACCACATCCTGCCTACAGAACTGTAAGTCCCCTTTCCTCTCCAGCATTTGATCCTTCAGTCTCTCCACTCCCATGCAAACCTTGTATGTCAATATAAGACACCTTTCAAATTCCCATCATAAAACACATTAACTTGTTTATACCTACACCCGTGCATTTGTGGGGGAAGGGGAGCACCCTGTATCACTATTGCCCTGTTGACCCCTAACCCTTGGGACATGGCTCTGGGAGTGAACACAGGGAGGGTTTAAACACACCAGCCACCATATTTAACCTTCATCTAGGCAACACATAAACTTCCAGTGGTGCAGCAGCTTCACGAGAGTAAAGACCTGACCTTAACCAGCACTGGGTTCCAAGAAAGCAATGGCAGTGAACACGTGCTGGGGAAGGTCACTTCCTTCCACTCCCTGGATTACTCAGTCTCTCCCAAGCCTAGCTACTAGACAAGGACATCTGCAATAAAAGTTTATGGAAAAACAACAACAAAAACCTAAGAGGTTTAACTCACAATTCTTCAGGTTAAAACAATCAAATTTATGCTGTTAGAGAAAGAAAGAACACAGTAACAAACGGGGCTGCTACCTTCGGCTTTGAGCCCAGGCCTATGCAGAGGAACGGCCTCTGACCTCCCTCAACAGCCTGTCCTAAGCACTGTGGCCAGAGGCTGGTGGCTGTTACCTTAGGATGGGCTCCAGGTCAGGGTGCCGCCGCTCTTCCCTTTTTAAAGAACCCTGATTCAGGGCTCTTAAGATGGTCTTGTCAAAAGTCTCAGAAGACAATTCCTTTGGAAGCTACAAGAGAAAAACACAATATCCAATGCTGAGTATCTTCACTTAAATATATGAACAAACATAAATAAACTTTAAAAGAAATGTCTTCTCCTCATTAGCCATCCCAAAGCACTCTTTCCAAGGCATCAGGCTGAAGTGGTAGAGGTCTGCTCTACAGGAAGCAGACCTCATGGGGCTTACCCAGGTGCACAGCCTGCCTTCAGTGTACAGCAGCTGGATCTCACACTCAAGGCCCTCTCCCCCATCGGCGACATCCATACAGCTGCCTGCTGTGGGATGTTCTGTATGGCAAATGTGTTGCTGATTAGTCAATAAATAAAACACTGATTGGCCATTGGCTAGGCAGGAAGTGTAGGCGGGACAAGGAGGAGAATAAAGCTGGGAAGTGGAAGGCTGAGTCAGAGACACTGCCAGCCACCATGATGAGAAACAGCATGTGAAGATGCCGGTAAGCCACGAGCCACGTGGCAAGGTATAGATTAATAAAAATGGGTTAATTTAAGCTATAAGCAAGAAGCCTGCCACGGCCATACAGTTTGTAAGCAATATAAGTGTCTTGTGTTTACTTGGTTGGGTCTGAGTGGCTGTGGGACTGGCGGGTGACAAAGATTTGTCCTGACTGTGGGCCAGGCAGGAAAACTCTAGCTACAGCTGCCAGCTAACCAGGCATTCTGCACAGTACAGCCAGCACTTTAATCCCGGAGCACTATTCTGGAAAGTGTTATCTCTGCCTCTATAGTTACCAGTTTTGTGCTTCCTGCTTCTCACATTTTAATCTCAGGCAATGTTGGACCATTAAATGCTACATGCCAAATAAAGAACAAAGTTATGAAAGCTGGGTCAAATTCTTGCAGTTTTACTGACATCAAAAACACCCATCAGAGCTCGTGGTGGTTCAGCAGGTAAAGTATTTATTTGCTGCTCAAGTACAAAGACTTGAGTTCAGTCCCTAGAACCCAGGTGAAGTGGATGGGGAGAAATGACTCTTCTGTCCACGCTGTCCTCTGACCTCTCCATGTACCAGACACTGCACGACCCACACCCATAATTATAAAAAACCAAACAAAAAACACGGCGGACATGTCCAATAAGCAGCTGTGCTAGACTCTGTAAGAAAGTATCATTTGGCCAAGAAAAATATTTAAATGAAACCAAACTCTTATCACATTATTTAATTTGTTTAACTAAAAATATTCCTAAAAACTGGGTTCTAAAACTAACTTTCTAAGTTTGTCAAGAACTCAGTTTTGGTTTTCGTGATTAACTTCTGAACTACTGTCACTTCCACTAGAATCAAGACTAACTGAAGTTAGAGCACAGTGATAACCTAAGGAGCCAGAGACATGAATCTACAGAACTTGGTTTACAAAGTAAACATTCTGCTAGGAAACACAGTGCTCAAACACAGCCACAGAGAGGGCAAAGGTGGCGGTCCTGAGGTCGGGCACAGCGACTAGGGCACTGGGATGTTTGGACAATGTCTGCTAACCACTATGGGGAATCACAAAACCAACAGCATCTACACCCTACTATGGAAATCATGTCCTCCAGCCACCAGCCTGAAGAAACAAATTCTGAAGCAACACATTTTCTAAATAAAGAAACACACTATTAATTTCAAAATTGACACTTTGACCTTAACATACTAATAGAGATTTTTGACGGTAGGTATTTATTACAAATTTGGAACATTAGTAAAAAATGTTCTTTAGTGTGTGTGTATAGTGTGTGTGCAAGTACATGTATGAACATGTACGTATGCAAGTGTGTGTACACACAGGGACGCCACAAGTTGACACCAATGTCTTCCACTACTGCTTCCCACCTCATCTTTTGAGACAGGGTCTCTCTCACTGAATCCAGAGTTCACCAATGAGCTAGACTGTGTGGCCAGTGATCTCAGAGTACTCACCTGTCCTTCAACACTCCAACACTAGGGCCACAGACATGGCTGACTACACTCAGCTTTTACATGGGTGTCCTTGCTTATGTGGCAAACACATCTACAAGAAAACTATCTCCCCAGTACACTGACAAAGAACATCAGCCTTGGCAGAGAAATCTATTTCAGCTGAGGACTCTATCATGCAAAGTGCCACCGAGTTAACGACAAAGTTCACATTACTGGGCTGAGTAATGGACATGCAGTCATTAGTATGCAATCTAGTTTATTTTCATGTTGCTTTTGTCTTTTTTCCAGGGCCCACTCAGTTGGAAGGGAAGTTTATTTGCTAAAAATAAGGCGTTAAAGTGTGTCTTTTATATTCTATTTTATATTGGATTTTTCTCTTTATATCTTAGTTTTTAACAGATCTAGTCCTGCATTGGCCTCTGCACAATCTCAGAGTAATGAAAGGTTTTGTATCTAGATACAAATTTATCTTTGAAAATGCCAAAGCCTAATGTGCAGCCATTTATCATTATTTGATTTTTCTTGTTAACAAAGTTAGCAAGAATAAATGGTTGATTCACATCAGGGAGTTGCAGCCTTCACCTCAAGGAGTCTCCTAAAAGGGTCAGTGGTACAAGTGGGAGAGAAGTGTCCTTATTTGCAACCATCTTAATGTCCCGTTTTGTGGCTTTGGATCTAACCTTGATGGCAATTTTCTTGGTCAACACACATCTCTTGATTAGAAGCCTCAAGATCATCACTGACATCACGGGAAGGTCAACTGACAGTCTTTGCATGTATGATCCGCTATCCTCTCCTGTGTATTAGCAGCTTTGCCGGAACTAGCTCATCATGACTTTGGCATCCAAGGATCTTCAACACAATAACCTAAGTTGATCAGTCTTATCTCCATATTAACGAAAGCCTGTATCTCTTCCCTTACTTCATTAAGTAGTGCACCATAAGGCCAGCCCTCACTGAAGAAGTCCTTTACTCTGAAAAGGAGCCATTCAAAATAACTGTGCTATAAACGCCAAACCTGTCTTTCCGATTGATCCATCGCCTACACACTTTAATAGCCTACAACTGCAATGTCAAGACCCTGAACTGAAAGCCAGGTTGCCACCTTTCAACATTTGGAAGAGAGACCTCGGACTGAGGGCAACACTGTCAGCTGGACCACAGGATTCTGATTTGGTTTCTAAGCCACACAGTAGGTTGGATCCAATGCAGCCTTGCCAATCCTATTCTTCAGCTCAGGGGTCTCTAAAGTAGACTCCAGATGCCATGGAGTAGTTTTCTCCTTGTTAGACATGGCTGGGTCCGGTGTGATGAGTTGTCTCAATCTGGGAACTGCTGTTCAGCTGAGGAAAACACTACACGTGCACCAGCAGTTGGTCCATTCTAATGCCAGGACAGTGAGTTTTGATACTCTTTTAGATGGACTGCAGTTTGTCTACAACTGTTCCTGTACAGTCATTATAAAACCCCTCCAATGTACAGTACATCCCACTCACTCTAGTTAGCAAGCATCCAGACTCCTACTCTGTTCTCAGAAACTGTGGATAAGACAGTAAAGGAAGAAATAAAAACTGGGCTGCTGTGGTAATATGAAAAACAAAACTGGAAGGGGCCAGGACATGGAGGGCAGAAGCTGCTGTTCCCCAAAGAGAGAACTCGGCAACCCCCAACACCAACCCCACATTTCTGGAAACTAGTGCAGGTCAACAATAAGCACGCCCATTCACAGTACACTACACAGGTGCTCAGAAGGACAGGTTCTGCTCTGGATTTCTACAAACAATGTTGAAGACGGGAGCAGGCAACTTGAAGAATATTTGACAATATGTTACTATATGAATGGCAATTCATTTCTATAAAGACAGTGAAGATTATCCCGGGTAAGAGTGGTGTTCACACATTTAAGAAAAGCGCTTTAAGAAATGCTGGCTAAGCAGAGGGATTAATTATCACAACCCTGAAGAATGAATTAGGCACTTGGGGGTTTTGTTGTTGTTAAGCACTTAGCTTTTAGAAAAACTATGTGACAGAAGAAATGTAATCTGTCAAAACACACCACTGCTGAAGCTTGGGGAGACACAGAAGAAAGGAGACTGCCAGAAGCCAGGCCACAGCCTGGCAGAGGGGTCTGTGCTGCTCACTGAACTCTTGCAGGAAGAGAGAGAAAGAGGTGTCACCCTCACACAAGCTGGCATCAAGGACCCTGGCCTTGACCGGTGGCAGTGTCTTTAGCCCCGCTCTGTATCCCGTGGAGCTCCCTCTCCAGCACTGGAGCTGTGCCACTGAAGAAGAAGACAGAAGACAGAAGGAGACAAGAGCATCCTGTTGCCAAATCCAACCGCTGGCTGCTCATAGGTGCTTATTTAACTTACATTAAACCCTGGTAAATGTATCCTACCAAGACACAAGAGAGCTAGCGATAAGCAGAAGAGGTTCACAGGTGTATGCAAAGGAAAGCGGGCCAACCCAAGGCCTCTGCTTAGTCATCAGAAGCCCCAGCGGCCACTCTCCCTGCGGCCAGCTCTCAGCACCCGGCGGCAGGGCCACGGCCATCCGCTTCCCTGACATCTTTCTGACTGTTCCCCTAAGTCTGGCAGGAAGAGGCCAGTGGTCAGAATGCCCACCCTTCCATCACAGGCTTCTTTCCCACCAAACTGTAGGACTGATAAGCTGGAGGAGGGACACAGGCCCCGGTGACTAGAAATGAATGAAGCTCACTCCATCTTTACATGCCATCAGTAACTTGAATGGGTCAGGGAGTTCTCAGCCATTAACTGAGAGAACCCAGAAACCTACGTAAAACTAAGTACTACTGGTCAAAACAAACAAACATATAAACAAAGAAAAACAAGAAACAAACAAACACCAATAAAACGACTTCTAAGGGCATTCTGCTATACTCATAGATGAGTGCCTTATACAGTCAGCATCAGAGAAGCTTCCTCCTTCAGCAGATGGGAACTAATACCCACAACCAGACATTATGCACAGAGACCTTGGAATACACAGTTCTAAATGGAATTTCTCCATCTAATCCCTCTTCCCTGAGTTCAGGGAACCTCACAGAAGAGGAGATAGAAAAATATTTAAGAGCCAGAGGGGACAGAGGACACAAGAGAGCAAGGCTCATATGAACTCAGAGATGAAGCAGCACACACAGGCCAACACGGGTCTGCACCAGGTCTTCTGCATATATGTTACAGCTTTCAGTTTAGTGTTTCTATGGGATTCCCGGGTGTGTGAACAATGGGTCTCTGATTCTCGTGCCTTCTCTTGGGACACTCTCCTTCTGTTGCTTTGCCTTATCCAACTTCAATGTGATGGCTTTTATTTTTTTTATTTTTTTATTTTTTTTGGTTTTTCGAGACAGGGTTTCTCTGTGTAGCTTTGCGCCTTTCCTGGATCTCGCTCTGTAGACCAGGCTGGCCTCGAACTCACAGAGATTCGCCTGCCTCTGCCTCCCGAGTGCTGGGATTAAAGGCGTGCGCCACCACTGCCCGGCGATGGCTTTTATTTTATTTTATTTTGTTATGTTTGGTTGGTATCTCTTAGAAGCCTGTTCTTTTCTAATGAGAGACAGAAAAGGCATGGATCTGGATGGAAGGGAAGGTGGGAAGGAACTGTAGCAAACGGAGGGAGGGGAAACTAATCAGGTTATATAGTATGAGGGAAAAAAAATCTTTTTGTTTTGTTTGTTTTGTTTTTTGAGACAGGGTTTCTCCGTGCAGTTTTGGTGCCTGTCCTGGATCTCGCTCTGTAGACCAGCCTGGCCTCGAACTCTCAGAGATCTGCCTGGCTCTGCCTCTGAAACGCTGGGATTAAAGGAGTGTGCCACTGCTGCCCAGCCCAAAAAAATCTATTTTTAATAGCAGGGGAGGAAAAAAAGAGAGAAAATTCAGTTTAAAATAAGCCACAGGAAAAAGAAACTATTCAATTGACTTAATCTAGACAGACTAACAAATCCAGCAAACTAACATTTTGACAGTGTATCAGAGAATCAGTCATCAGGATTCTGCTCAAAGTCCTCAGACTGGTGAAAACTCAGTCCCTTGCAGAGTTAAGAACCAAGTCACACACATGATCTGAACAGAAGACACACAGAGTGACAAGCACACAGTGTGAAACCAGCAAAATCCTCAAGTGTCAGGTGCTATCAGTTCAGTAATGACACTCTCACACAAAACTTGGTAACTGAGTTAGGACTATTTCCTGTTTCCGGATTTTGCAGTTTTATCTCCCTGTTAACAAACTGTAAAGTATTTGCTTACTGAGCAATAGTAATTTATTGATCACACAGACCTAGTTCCCCTTTTACTGTTTCTTTCATTTTTCAATTAAATCTAATTAGAAGACTTTATTCAATGGAACAGGTAAGGATGTGCACAAAACACATCTGCAGGAGACAATTCCATCATCATCTCTTGTTCTGGATGGAGTGGGAGAAGGATAGACTCCAAGGAAGAAAAGGAACAAGATTTAAGAAAAGCCCACAGATGGAGAGCTTCACACAGTTGTTAGGTACCGCAGGAAATAAGCCTCATAAGTCTCATTGCAGACAGCTGTCTCAGGGGAAGAGTCCGTACCTTATGAAGAAACATCTCTGCAGTGAGCTAGGAACGGGGACCCATTTCCTAAAGTGAATCCCTTTGCCATTTATGCTGGCAATGTAAGGTGAGAGATACACAATGTAACATTTGCTACAACTCATATTCTTTCAGTTTGGAGTCAACTATGTGTGTTTTCATTTCTTGCTGATTCCTTTGACACTGAAATTTTAGGAATCTGTATATCATATACAAATCTTAACAACAAAATCTATAATTTTACCTTCAGTAGAAATTCCTGTAGCTCTTGGTAGGTTTTTGTTACTGTTGTGACTGAAAGGTCAGACCAATTTACCTGATTTAAGAAAACACACATATTGTATGGTTATTGCTTAGGCAGGAACTGGCTAGGGAAAAAGCCATGTGTAAAATAAAAGGCCTTACTTAAAATTTTAAGATTAGCAATTAGAAATATAAAGTTCATCCAGCATTATCACAGCTTCTATAAATGTACATTGACGTTCTACTGAAAAAAGTTTTCCAATAATTTCTTTTAAATTGCACTTTAAAAAAAGCAGTGTTAAAACGTAACTATATTTTAGTAATTTTCAGGAACGTTTTGCTTTTCTGGTTAAGTACAAAAATGATACAATGACAGGGTAAAGCCAAAAGATAAACTCCTGTCCCTGATGCTCACTAATGTACACTTCCAGGAGAAACAGTCAAGGCAGACTGTCCCTCTTTGGTACCATTTTACGGCTGAGGGAGATTTATCTTCTGAAAAGATATCACTTTGATTCCAGATGTTTTAAATCCTAGCAAGACGCTTTATCAAATCTGATTACCTCCATTTTCAGATGGAGAAAATGAGCTAAGTGTGACCTGAATGAACACAGGATCTAAGACTGGGCTCGGCTGTGCTGGCTCCTGGACACTAAGAATTCTGTGGGCTTTAGTTTCTACTGTACAACTGTTTGACTGAAGCAACTACCTGAGATATGCTAATATCTAAGTCTTATCATTAATCATATCACAATTAGATAATGCACACAAAATTCCACCTAGCAACCCTGTTTATTTGCTGGTACATTTCTTAAATGATGATCACCTACATGGGTAGGTAGATACCAGGGTAGGCATGACAACTGAGTCTGAGTTCAGTCTCATGTCAGAGTCACATAAAGCCCAGCAAACATGCAAGAGTTTCTACCAGTCACCATTACTTCAAAGACTGGGACTTGGGCCTGAAACAAGAGTAGCTGGGTGTTAAGAAGGCTCTCTAGAGAGGGAGCATTTGAGCCAGATGTTAGCTGTGCTTTAGTCCAGGGTAAAGAGAAAAGTCTTACAGAAAAGCTGTGCACTCCAACAACTAAAGGAGAAGCCAGCATGCAGAGCTTCAAGGGCAAAGAGCCAAATATGCCAAAAGTGAGACAAATGGAAATTGGAAATGGAAACCATAAAGTCAAGGATTTTTCTCCTTCAAAGTAGAAGTTAAAGTTTTAAAATCCATTCAACAAATGTACTGAGCAAGGCAGACACTGTAGGATGGCAGGAGATGAGGATGAGTGCTTCCAGAAGATGATCTATTCAAGGATGGGTGGGAGCTGTAGTGGTAGCAGTCTGCAGAGGAAAGAGAAAACATTCTACCAGAGGACTAGAAGAGTCTTCAGGAAAGAGGGACAGCCAGAACGTGGTAAGCAGTGCCTGTGGGAAGACCTGAGTGAAACTGCAGAGAACCCTGGCTTCACTCCATGGAGCTGCAGAGTACGTGAGAGCCGATCTCAGAAGACTCCACAGTGAAGCTGCAGCCCAGAGGAAGCAGGTGGAAAGTCTTACCCTGGCAGGAACAGAATCTGACCAGACCGGGGTTCACAGCCAACAAGATGACAAAGCCACAAAGCAGGGATGAGAAACTCCACGAGGAACAGGGAAGCGGGGCAGTGATGCCAGGGCAGAGAAGGGCAGTGGTCTGCAAATACTTTTAAAGATACACCTTACACCTTTAATAGTCCTCCCCAAGTCTAAGGTTCTTATTTTTAAAAACTACCATATCTGTCTGTCTACCTGCCTGCCTATCTTTTGTCTTTAAAGTCATAAACTGGCTAGCAGTTAGTTCTTCTAACTTATTGGGGCAAACAGTGCATCTTTTGGGGGTGAGCATAGCTTACTTTGAAAGTGTACTCCCAATATTTGTCAGCCCTCTTTCTCTGGACTCCTTTCAACATTATCTTCTCAATGTGTACAGCTGAAAGAAAAAAAAACACACATTCTGACTGTGTTAGAGATCACACACATGTTCAGTTACGTAAAGTAATCCTGTAACTTGACAAATGCTAGTAATTAAGCTACTTACTTAAGCTTCACAACTGGCCTTAACTCACGAAACAAACAGATACACACCAATACGCCACATATCCATGAGTGGACGTTTCCTATGTATGTTAAGACACTGAATGCCCAAGAGTGTCAAACAGTCAACAACAAAAACAAACAAAATACCCAAAGACATTTCACTGAAGATTTTTCTTTAAAGGGTAATAATGAAAATCCTTATTCAGATTATCACAATACAGTACTTTGGGGTCAACTAAATATGTATGGCTTATTCAATTATTTATATATAATAGATTAAGTTAGAAAATATCTAGTTTCTTGCTTTTTATTTGTGTAAGTGTTTTGCCTGCATATATGTGTGTGTGTACCACAAGCATGCCTGGTGCCCACAGAGGCCAGAGGGGATTTTGTAGATCCCGGAACTGGTAAAATGTACTACAAACTGAGCACTGTAAGGAACAAGGAAGAGTTACTACAGAGATGGAACAGTGGACACAGGTGACAGTGAACATGAAAACAAACAGTCTATTCACAAACTCAGTAACCATACAACCCCCCAGCCACTCACTTTATAGTTCCTTCAGTAAACTGTCATCATAGAAAATAAAACAAATGGGGGTGTGACCTAAAAAGGCCACTCGATAGTACAACACGAGGACTTGAAGACAACAGACAGACCAGGGAAACAATACTTACTTGATGCTGAGACTGCAGCATCAGAAGCTGACAAGAATGAACTTGATAATGGTGGCAGAGAAGAGGCTGGGAAAGGAATGCACTGGGGTGGGGTGGGGTCGGGGTCACTGACGGATTCAGGGGAAGGATGACAAAGGGACAGGGTGGTTCACTGTGCTTTAGAAGTGTGAGACTGTTACACAGCATGGAAGGGGAGCAAGCAGAGAGCATGAGGCACAACACAAACGCAGCCGGGAACGCATTTAGAATGAGCAGCGAGAGTAGTAACAGCACTTTGTCCAACTTTCAAAACCTACGATTTGAGGGCCTGCTTCAGGCCAGCCTATCCTTTGTGCTTCAGAAATATTGAGGGTGAAGGGAGGGAAAAAATTCTCAAATACCAGATGGTAACTCTCAGACCTGTGTAATGTTACAATGAGCGGAGAGGGATGGAAAGGTCTGTGTTTCCAAACACTGCTGTATGAAATCACATAAAGGATGAAGAAAATAAAACCTTCCTGAACTAATCTGTGTTGAGAAACAGAACAGCCGGGGCTGTGGATGGAACTGCCCTGGCAGAGTGCCTGTCTAGGAAGTACTAAGTCCTGGGTTTGTTTGATCCCAGAACAGCACAGGCGAAGGCATGTGGACTGTGGACAAGGCCAGCTTGGATCATTTAGTATGCTGTTTCAAAAAAAAAGAAAACAAAAGAAAAGAAACAAGACAAGAACAGAGGCGAGTGTGATTCCATTTCTGCAAACCGTTGGGTTCTTGGCTTTCTGTCTGTCTGTCTGTCTGTCTCTCTGTATGGTTGTCTGTGTCTGTGTGTGTGTAGGGCAGAGGTCAATGTGGGCTGTCTTCGTTAATCATTGTCCACCTCATTTTGAAATGTTATTTTACCGAACCTGGAGCTCACTGGTTCAGCTAAGTGTCTCAATGGTCAGCTAGCTCCAGGGACCCTCTGTCTTTATCTCCCAGCACGAGAATCATAGGCTGTGCCTTGCTTTTTGCATGGGTGCTAGGGATCAGATTTCCAAGTCCTCATACTTGCAAAACACTTGATCAACTGAGCCATCTACGTTCTGAGCCCTTAGTGTTCACTGTTTAGTGGAGGGGGGCAAGATGCTGTTCCTCAATGGCAATGTGGCTTTAGCTTCATCTTGGATTTCAAGTTATACCTGCTGTCACCTCTCTTAACACTCATTAACTAAAACCAGAGCATGTATTACATATCATGCTTTTAATAGAAATGAAGGAACATACACATTTTCACCTTAAAACTAACTGCTATCATTTTAAATAGTCTTCATTTTTCTCAATTGTTTTATGAGAACAAAATATTATAAAATCAAGTTCTACATTAGGTCACTCTATGTTCAGTGAGCTGAACTGAAGTAGTTTATGGTTGAAGCTTAGTTGGGGGAGTACTATGACTGTCTTAAACAGAGGTGGTCATTTGATAAACATTCCTTCATAACTAAACAGACGTAGTTCTACCCAGGAACACCGCACATCAAAAAGATTGTAACTAAAAGGAAGTATACTGACACAGATTCAGAGTTGTGACTGAGTATGTCTTAAGCATCCTTGGCTCATCTACAACCTACGTACATGGCAGCCCACATTTTGTTTCAAATTTTCTCTTAGTATGGGCTTATGGACTTCCCAAATGCAAAGAAAAAGAGCACTCAAGCTCATTTCTTTTTAGATGAAAATGTGCTTTCATTCCCACATTAATGTGGGATATGAAAATGTGCCATTCCTCTTTAAAACTGCATGGAAAATGGATTTGTGAACAAGTTCTTCATCCTCTTACTCTGAACTCTGTTAATTTTCTTTCTTTTTTTTTTTTTCGTAGACACTGACCACGTTCCGTAGATGAAACACTTTACTAAGTACTTAAGGAGTAGGATAAAGTCTTTGCCCTCCAGAAACACACAGAGGTTTAAGAGAGAGCCAAAAAGACAACTGTCTGTGACACAGGCCAGCACATGTGAGAGCACGTTCCAAGGCTGCAGAGAAAGGAGACTTCACAACACTGAAGGTAGAACACTGAGAGCATTGCTTTTGGGCAAAAGTCCAGGGCCAATAGTAAATAGGATTTCTCTAAAAAGAAAAGAGTTAAGAATTAAATAGTATTGGGGCTAGTGATGCAGCTCTGTTGACAGAGTGCTTACCTGGCATGTATGAGCCTGAATTTGCTCCTGAGCACCACATAAACCAGGTTTGGTAGCACAGGCCTGTAATCCTAGCACTTGGGAGATGGAGGCAGAAGGATCAGAAGTTCAAGGCCAGCTTTATTATATAGTAAGTCTGGGGCCACCTTGAGCTATGTGAGACCCTGTCTCAACCAACCAACCAATCAACCAACCATCACCAGCAGCAGGAACTGCAACAACAAAACCCTGAGTGTAAACAATGCCCTGCCATAAGTTCACAACAACTAAAACAAGCATACCTTCCCGCTGAGCTCTGTGAGGGGCCACGGTGAGTCCACCTTGAGGTATTTGAGCTTGTTCTAAGCCAGCCTCATTACTCTGTATATAATCACCACAAGCAGAGTTGTTCTAGAAGAGAAGATGATGTGTTAGTCTCTATGAGAGTAGAAATTTCTGAGTCAAGTCCTACCATCTGAATAATGACTGTACTAGTTACCAGTGATCAAACATTAAGGGAGAGAGACACCAACTTTTAGAGTCACAAGTAGCAGTATCAATGTTCATTGTTATTTAACAGTAATAATCGTTTCAAATATTTACTTTCCCAGCTACTTTAACACACAAAATCAAATGTTGCTAATCAGAGCTGACAGTAGTGTTCATTCTATACCACATGAAACAGAAATCAAAAGGACATATAAAATGAATGGTATATTTTATGTTAATTTCCCAAGGTAAGTGCATTGGTACTTTGTATGTTAATCACTATATAAAATTTATTTACTGATTGGTTTTAATGACAGTCTATCAGGATGCTCTGTTAGGAAAAAGTATTACCAACAGCACCATTAACATATACCAAATCTTTCTAAGAAGCACTATGTATGGATAGTTTACCATCAAAGTCAAGTCACTCAGAAACTATTGGGAGCGCTGACCCTGAGTCCACTCAGCCCATTAGTAGTGAACTACAGGTGTGTGCCTCAGAGACTGAATGTTTACAATAATAATAAGCAGGCCAAGCTTACAACTCTCCAGAATTAAAGCAGTGTTATGTGTCTGTTTTTATTATAAGATGCTGGAAAAGCCAAACCCCAGAAAACAGCCCTGTCATTTCTCTGTCCTAACACCTTACCTCATCTTCTCACCCAGAATCTCAAAATACCACTTACATCAAGATCCCTTGTTTCAAGAGCCAAACATGGTAAATAACACACTGACTTTTTAATTGTGTAAAGAAACAACACAAATAGAGGACCTTCAACTTCCCAAGGATCTCATGTAAGGTATATCATCCTGCTGCCTAATGCCACAAACTGGTCTGACAATGAGTGTGGGATTCCAGCTGACAGCTCTACTTATGTGTATAAACTACATTAAGTACTCTTGGGAACTAAGACTTACATCTGCTTTCTAGAAACCTGAGGCACTAGGGTTGTTTACAAAGAACCACGTAATGAGGTGAGCACAGATCTCTTCAGTGCCAACAGCTGAAACATTTGGGCCTCATAGTCTTTACCAACATGCAATATTATCAGTTTTTAACAATAAACTCGTATTTATCCTAACTCAGATCATAAAATCATTCTTACAGTCAGCATTTGCCAGGGAGATTTTGGTAATTAAAAATTCAACACTGTTCTACATACTTTAAAAAACAACAGCAATAGAGTGCTGATGATATGACTCAGTGGCAGAGTACCTGCTTAGCATGTGCAAGGTCTTAGGTTTCATCCTCAGCACCACAAAAAACAAACAAAAGCAGAATGAAGCATTCTAATCTTCTCAAACAGCTATTACTTCAAAGAGCCTTTCAGTTTCAATTACTTCTTCTCCTTTTTATTCCTTACAATTTTATTTTTAATTCCATGTCTGTATGTATGGGTATGTGCACATGAGAACAGGGGCCTGAGGGGACCAGAGGTAGAAGATATCCCTAGAGGTGGAGTTACAGATGACTTGGGTCCTCTGAAGGAGCAGTATGTACTCTTAACCACTGAACCACCTCTCCACCCTCACTCCTTTTCTTATAGCGGATTATTTTTCTAAGTTGGTTTAAGTTTAAAAACTATATACTTTCAAATGTAAACAAAGGAAAAATATGCAACAGTAAGTTTCTACAAAGAAATGCAAATCAGAACCACAATGAGATCATTTTACTTCTACCAAAATGGTTATTGTCTAAAATAGGGGGAGAAGAGTTGATGAAGATGTGGTATAATCAATGCCACCAAACCAAACACTCTAGAAAGAGTAAGGCAGCAAATCTGTAACAAATATCTTAGAATAGTTCATTAACAATACTGCTTCCACAAGCATTATACTCAAACCACAGGAAAGTAGTTTGCTTCCCAACTGAAGTCACAAGTCTAAAAAGTTAATTTTAAGAACAAAAATGTCAGCCATGGTGGCACACACCTATAATCCTAGCTGCACAGGAAGTCGAAGCAGAAGGAGCGTAGTTTCAAGGCCAGCCTGAGCAACTTAGCAATACTCTGCCTCAAAATAAAGCGAAAAGGGGCCAAAGAGTTTAAGTGCCAGATAGAGGGCTTATGCAGCCCTGTTTAATAAATTAGGACCTAAGTCTATCAACCCATGAAATATCTGCAAATCATTTCTTTTTATCCCCAAGTCTCAGGAGTTTCACCAATACTGTGAAAATCATTCAGATTAAATTTAGAAACGATTTCTAAAGTTTACAATGAGCTATGGAAGAACATAATTGTGGAGTTTATTAGCACCAGATGTGAAAGGCTGTCAGTCAGGCTGTCTCCATCTTCACATGTCACACAATATGACATTCAGTGGAGGAAAGATGCCATGTAATCTGAGAACTACTGTTTGATGTCACTGTATATATAGGAACAACAGCTACCTCCCCCATTAAATTCTGGTTCCAACCTTTGTGGAAGAAATAAGCCAAGGAGAAGCTGAGAAGGACTTACTGCCTTTCTGTTCTCCCCAGCAGCCATGGCACAGGAGGCAAGGGTAAGTCTAACCTTAGCTCAACCACAGGCAGTCTTGAGAACCCACAGCATCGTATCTTAATTGAGCTGCGACCGTAAAATGGACACATCTCAGAACAGGCATGATATGGACTTCTGCTACGACTGTGGACTCTTCTTCTGGTGGCTTATTAACTAGCTCTCAGATGACTCAGCAAGCAGGTGGCAGAACTGCTACTTCAAAGCTTGGGTAAATACACCAACTACTGGAGAGTATCGACGACATATATCTGCCAGCACAGTCCACACCAGACAAAGCCACAATAGCTTCGTTGTATGTGCATTCTTCTCGACGTGAACCCTGGGATAACAATGGCAAGCTATGCAGGACTGGAGGGGAACAGGATGGCAGGGAAACTGTCACTATCACTCTCTATGCACCTTGGGGGACTCTGTGCACTTATTACTAATTTAAAAATTAAAACTGTTGATCTCAATCCATCAGGTGGGGGGAACAGAATGTGTTAAACTGAACCATTAAGAAAGCTCCAGCACAATAATGCTGATACAGAAGCTTATGGTGAGAAGGAAGAGGGAAATCAGGGCAGCAGGTTTTACCCAAGAATTGGCCTTGATGTTTCCCTTGTATCACTCTTCATGCTTCTGCTCCTTCAATCTAAATCCTGCCAGCTATTAAGATGTCTACCCTGGACACAAGACGACAAAGACACAGGAAACCAACAGATAGTGAGTCCTCTACTGTACCAGGAACGAGGAACACGGACCAAGGGTTGCTTCGCTCCTGTGCCAATTTGATCCCCACAGCAAGATGTTCTGGTGAGGTGACAAGAACAATCTTAGGAGTACAAAAGGACCTAGACACGCACACATCCCCTCCCTAGTCCACACCTACGTTCCAACTTTATCTTCCCAACCTTACCCTAGGAGAGAGGAGAATGCAGAAGAAGCCCAAGGAGTCCTAAGTAGGAAGCAAACTAAACTCAGAGCATTGGCAGCACAGGGACCACCAGGCCTTCTAGGCCCCCAGCAGAGCCACAGCTCCCCACCACTTCAGTCCAGATGAGTTCTTGGAATCATGTAGACATTTAAGCTTATAAATTTAAGGGGGCCTTGACCATGATACACAGACAGTTAAGTGTGTACAGTTTGGGGAAATTGTATTAGGATTGGACACTTAAGCACAACTGTGAGAACAACCACTTACTCCCCAACAAGGGAAACAAACCATTTCCCTAAAGCAACAGCTTTTCTGTTCACCACTGCTCTGAGAACCTCATTTCAGATGGGCTTGTTCTCAAGCAGTACTTTGGTTCACACGGCCACACTTTCCCCTCCAGGACCATTTAAAACAAAAATCTATTTTGTTGTAGAAAACTATCCCAATTTAGACTGTCTTAATAATAACCCTAAAAATCCCACATGACTTCCCAGAGTGCTCATTTCAGTGACCAAAGTCAAGTTTTTCGCTTTCTAAGCACAAGCATTCCCCATCTCGGCCCCTCTGCCGCTCATATACACACCACAGCTGGAGAGCAAACACTGTGGAGACCCTCTATACAGTCAATCACCCAAACAGTGAGACAAGTTCAGAACTAGGACCTCTCCCACTAGTAAACCACCACTTTCAGGGCAGCCCCCATTTGTGCATCAATACAAATAAGACCAAAAAAAAAATCACTGTTCAATGCTTCCAGTCTTAAAGCAATACGTTAATAGCTATATTTGAAAGCAAAGCTTAAGAAATTATGACTGAGCAGATTATGATACAAGAAATGCTGACAAAAAATAAATAAATAAATAAAAACGGAAAATTTAAAGACCTAGCAAGGAAGGTCAATTACATAAGCTTAAAATAATAGTAAGAATTCTAGAAGTACCCAAACTCCAAGAAAATATATGTCCTAGTGGAATTCTGAATTGACAGACTCTCAGAAGACTGGTAATCCAAGAACACCACAGGAATGGAGACAGCATGAACCCTGACCTGAATGAAAGGCAGGATGTGTGAACAGAGATTGGGCAGCTGGGACTTTAGTTAAGCACCTATTAAAGCCCAGGGTCCATCAGTCACTGAAAGCAAATGTAGTGTGACTAAAGGCTGATTTACAAAGATGTATCTGGTGGCAATGCCCCAAAGTGAGGTGGGAAGCCAAAACCAAAGGAACCAGTTTGGGTATTATAGTAGATACCCTGCATCAAGACCCAAAAGAACAAGGCATCAGTCCTTCATGAGCAGGATAAAGAGGAAAGACAACGAGGGGCCCAGGTACCTTAACACAGCATGGGGACTGAAGTACAACAGGACCACTGGGTGAGTCTGGAAGTTCTTTGAATCAGTAAGTGCTATTATTACTTAATTAATGTGTATTAAGTTAAAAAAAAGTGACAGCTGGCCTTCAGGGGGATATACAGCACAAACTCGCACATACAGTTATTTTCATT